TAATGAAAGAACCCATAACTTATGCTAAAACAACACTGTCATCAATTTAACATTTTACTATACAATAAAAATAAACATTGTCTGCTCTGTAAAACTTTATTTTTTTTTTAAATCTGATGAGTCAAAATAATCTAATTACAGTGCGCCTACAAAGAAAACTCTGGACCCAGCCCTAACTTAGGGGTAAAGATGATGAAGATTAGGGGTAGCGATGGAATGGGGATATTGTTAGCTACAAGAATTAATTTATATCCAAACACATTTAACAATCAGAACTGATACATAAATTCATTTTGAATTCTTTTTTTTGTTGCACTTGATGTATAAACATTATTGTTCGCAAAACTGTGAAAAAACATGTTTTTCAAAACTGTGAAAAAACATGTTTTTTTCCCATTTTAACATTTTATTCATACTTAATGTTGTGTTAAGTATACATAAAGGATATGATAAGAAAACAAAAACCTTTAAATTATGGTGGAAAAAATACAAAGACAAAATTCTAGGTTTTGTTTTGGTTCAAATGTTGGACAATTGCCCCCGTCCTTAAGGGGTTAAGTAATCTCGCCATCACAATGGGGTGTACTCAATAGGGCATACTAAACCAAAAACGGTTTAGATCAAAATAATTGGAGTAACCCTTTAAGATAGTGTTCTCTTAAGACTCCAAATTCTGCCTTCTTTTTTTAAATGGATATTTTTGTAAAAAATTACAGAATTTGAAAAGCTGAATGTTTTTGGAGTAATTTCATAAATGAAAACAGATAAGAGACCTAAGGTTAAAAAAAACAGTTTTCAAAACATCTTGGTAAACCCCCTTCATGAACCCCTTATGACTCCTAAGAATGATATACGAGGTGAAAATAAAATTTTATATTATCCCTCAATAGCCCTTCAAATACATATGCTCTGATACATTTTTCTGTAAATATACAGAATACATTATTTATTTCCACCAGTTACTGAGGTGGGATGTTCGGTGGTAATCAATTTTGGGTGATTATCGTTCGTGCGGATGGAGCCATTTTAGATTGATTATCTGGTAAAATAATGCATACATGAGTCATTCTCAACAAACGTGTCAAGACTTGTCACAAATATACCCACATATACAGCTACGTAAGTCCCTAAACACTGTTTAATATGTAATGTAATGTCCCCATGAGTCTCTCTCCTTTTCCATGATAGTGCAAGAGTTTTCCCCCACCTCTTATTTTCCATTGAAATGCTTTTAATTTTGCATCAGAAAAACATCCTACAAGGCACGGAGCACCCTACTTCAATGAGCACGCTGCTGCTTCCCACACGCCTGTTACTTGGCAACCAACGCACTCTGGCGTTAACCTCTTCATGGACAGCAATTTTGCAATATGTAGCATACATGTTACATCATGAGGAAAATCTAAGAACTTTGCCGTTGCATCCAGTATCTGACTGGATATTAATTTACAGAATCTCTAATTGAGACCAGAATAAAATGAGCCTTTAATATGAAAAAGGGGTAGACAGGGGGGGTGAAAGGGGATGGGGGAGGGGGGAAACCCCTAAAGTGTGAATAACAAGTTAAAAAAACAAAAAAGGAAAAGTCTACCAACAATGTATTCCTTAATGGGAGAGTATTTTAAAACTTAACTTTTAATCAATATCAAGAGTATAATAAAATATATGCAAAAAGGTACCATTTAAAAAATCCTACTCTATTATACAGCCTCCCGCTGCAGCTACTATGGTCAGGGATTCAAACTGTAACCAAAATACAGTAATACAAAGTAATTACAAAAAAACAATTAATAACAAAACAAAAATACTTAGCAAATGAAGTTCATGAATTTGCTGCAATTTCTCAAGCTTTGCAGCTTCTGCTGTGAGCACTGCTTAGATCAGAAAGCGACTCAGTCAATCGGGATGCTCACTTAACTTTCTACAGCATGACGGAGTTTATGAGATAAGCAATGTCTTATGGTTCCAGCAAGGGTTTAAGCGAGTTGAAATACATCTGTAAGCATTCTTTTGTTAAAGTCACGACATCCACTATTACTCGAGCAAAGCAGGTAGCCTATGCATGTTGTGATGGGAGAAGGTGAGATGGGACAGGTGGGCGTATCGAGCAAAATTAATTATTTTAAAAAGAACTAAATTAAAGAACATAAAAAAAAAAATAACTAACAAAACTAACTGTAAGCTAGCATGTGCAAGGACTGGAGTGTCCTTTTAACCCCTTAAGGACCAAACTTCTGGAATAATTCATGTCATGTGTCCTTAATAGGTTAAATTGCCATAACAAAAAACTGTGGGCGTAACAAATTTTTCCAGCCTATAAATATGTTATTAATAAATAAACAGCACTCTCTGTAGATAGTATGCATGGATACATTAGAACTTGTCACGTGATGTTCCTATATCCCCGACCCACTGCTGTTTATTAGCTTGTAGCCTCTGCAAGAAACAGTAGCTGTGAGTGAGCCCTTTTATATAATGGTGATCTCTCTTTCCAAGATGTCTTTAATATAAATGGTACATGACCAAGTCCTCTTTGCACACTCATGCTTCTTTCTAAGTTACCCCATACACAGATGACTAGAAAGCGAACACTTACATTAGAATGGAGATATGGGCACAGGTTCATGCTTATCGGCTGCCAGGTTCCCCCGAAGCAGGGGATCGGCCGCTTCCCCCGTCCGGCGCCCACTTTGCAGCTTTTCCCACGGTGGTAGCAGGACAGGTACCTCAAGTCGCCAGCCTCCTTCCTGCTTTGTAGGTAAGTCCGGTAGCTTGGGTGTCGAGTTGAGTAGCTCAGATCGAGCAGTAGTGGGTTGTAAAGTGCCTCTTTTGGCATGTTGGTGGAGGAGCTCCTCCGAGATGCGTCCTGCACCCATGCTGGTTAGCCCCCGCCCGCTAATTTTTTATTTTTTATTCTGGAAGGGAGAGAGGTTCAGGTAGGCACTAGTGGTTACTCCACAGTGCCGAGGTACTATAGGGACAGACCTACTCTTTGAGTTCTGGTTTGGGGCCGGATTGGGAATTTTGTTGGGTTATTTAACTCCTTTCTCTTAGCCTTTATATCCTTTACTTCTTACTATACCTGATCTGTGTCCAGTTGCTGGGACAGTGCACAGTACGGGCTTAGCCCTCACTAGTAGCCACGTTTCCAATTACTTAGCTGGACATTTATAGGTAATTGTGTGTATACATATACAGTGCCTTGCAAAAGTATTCACCCCCCTTGGCATTTTTTGTGTTTTGTTGCCTCACAACCTGGAATTTTATAACATGACAGGAGGCTTCGTATTTACTAAGTAAAGTCTCTCTTTACTAGAACTCCACAGCAGCACAGAAAAACAACCAATCAGAAAAAAGTTAGGTACTATAAAACTCCCATCCCCATACATCATTTCCTCTTTCTTTGCTGCTCCGCATCAGTACAGGTCAGAGTACCACTGCCTCCTGCTAATTTTAGTTGGTGGCTGTGTGATTTTTTTATATTTACAGTGTTTTACATGTTGTGTTATTTGGAAAATTTTTTTTGTATATCTAGCTTATGCCCCACTGCCCTATATTGCAGTGGGCTTTGTGGGGAGTTTTGTTTTCCCTCTGGCTCCTTGTTTCCCTTCTGGGGCTCTTTCCCCTCATTATTATTATTATTTTTAATTTTTTCCATCTGATTATCATTTGCACTTGTGGGCGCCTTTTGCTGCTCGGGGGTTGCTGGAGGCTGACCTGTTTCTTCCTCCTCCGTCTCCCGTCGAGCATCGGGATCACAGAGTGCACATCCAGCGGTCCGTGTGTGTTTTTAGCTCTAGTCACCGAGTGCCGCGCTATCTATCGCGCCCACCGACCGGAGCCTCAACATGTGGCTGCAAGCCGCGACCGGCTCGATCCATGGACCACGTGTGTCCGCCTGGTAGAGGAGGGAGCAATAACGCATGGCCCCTCCCCCACCGGTTGAATTAGTGCCGAGAAGCCGTTGGAGGCTTGTTCTCCCCATCGGGGAGCCAGGTATCAATTTAGACCGCGACCTGAGGCCCCCCTTTTTATAGCTGGTGGGCTGGGAGTAGTCCCTCTCCCTGCATCAGGCCTGGATTTCAACGGCCTTCTGCTTCTCAGTATATGCATTTTTATTCAGGTGGTTATTCATTGGTGGACAGTTGGGGGTGCCCCACAAAGTGTATTCCAAAAAACTTCATACACTTTTTTTTTTCCAGGGGAAGCTGAACCCTGCATGCTACATCCCTATTTCAGAGGCTTACATCTGTTTTCTTACACCTAGGGCCCCATGACCCATATTTACAGAGGGGTAACCATCAATAAAGTGACCCTTAATACTGACCATATACATTTACTGACCATATACTGACCATATACATTTACGACTTTACTGTCATGGTAATATATCCCTCTCTAGTTCAGGTGGAACATATTTTTTTTCCATCAGGAGGTTGTTTGGGTGCTTGATATTGTTTAGCCTCCATCTCAGAAATGAGAGGGGATTGTATTGTGATCCTAGTATTGGCCGGCTCTGTCTGTGCCACATTGCCTGCACTGAACTGGGATTGCAGCCTGGAGACACCAGTGACCAGTGGCTGCAGGACATTTGGGAAATACCAGATTTCCTATTTAGTGCTCTTAACACACTTTTGCTCTACCAGGGAAGCCTGGTATATCGACTTGGGTTTGCACCTATTACCCCAGGATTCTATATAGATATATATATGGAAGATCTACCCACGCAGACTGGTCTCCTGCAGCTGTCAGAATACAGCACCTGGGATGGACCTGCTATGTCGGTGCCCCATTAAATGACCTGCTATGTCGGTGCCCCATTGATTGGCCTGCTATGTCGGTGCCCCATTGAATGACCTGCTATGTCTGTGCCCCATTGAATGACCTGCTATGTCTGTGCCCCATTGATTGGCCTGCTATGTCTGTGCCTTTTTGACCGACCCACTCAGACGTTGGTTGGTACCCGGACCCTCTCTTGGCTGCAGGCCTGAGAGAATATTACTGAGCAATACCAAGTTGTCCACTATTGACACGGAGAAAGGGGGGTATCCGGGTAAGCACTGCTACCATACTTTTGAGGTGACACCAGTATAGGTACACCTAAGTATGCCTGGAAGGGTGAAGGCCCTAAACTGCATGACCAAGGGGCAAGGTTTCTACGTAAATCCCCGGACAGGCAGCCACGGCTCACACCAGCCCGTTCTGATGCACGTACAGGGACCAGTGCTCAAACAACAACAGGGGAACATGGTAATTCGTTTACCTTAGCAACGAATCCTTTAGCTACATATCCAATCTCCATTTGGGGTCTAGGTAGTTTATTTCTACGTCATGCTTAGCTCTTGGCCCTTTTCAGTTCTCGTGGATCACGGAGAATGTCTCCAGCGTTTCCCCAGACTACCGGCGGCCATCCTGGATTCCGCGCACTTGTGCGGGATCCAGGCGGCGGTCTGTAGATTCCATAATTTTTTTCTAACTATTGCAGTTTTCTTGGCCTGTCCCCATTATTAGACTCCGGGACACGGCCCCAGGCTGGAGTGTACTCCAACTATTATCAGGATTTTTATCTCCAATTGTATACACCTCTCAGGCGCCTGAGGCAGAGAGTGATTTCTGGATCAGAGGAGAATGCCTCTCAAAACATCGTCCCAACTCAGCAAGTTTTAGAGGGTAAGCTTCCTGCTTACTATCAGTCTGGAACTGAGAGGGACTCTGGTTTGCAGAATAAGAGGGTGCGGCCATTTCATGACCTCAACCCAGATCGAAAGCTGATGTACAGGATTAGAGGGGACCATTTCTGTTTTACAGAACTCGTTACTATATTGCCGTTAGAGGGCGCGACCCTCCCCTATCCTCGGCCCGAGGATGATACGGATGCAATTGCAGGTGGGTAGTGCGTCCCACACTCATATTCGGAGCCAGGCACGGCCATAGACCCTGAGCCTATTACTATTAGAGGAGACGACCCTCTCCGAATGACAGGGATACAGTTTACAGCATTTGAGACCCTACGGACTGTCAAGGAGGACTTTTCGGACTCTGGGGTAACCCTGTTTATGGTCAAAGCGCACATGGGCGTCACAAATTCGGGACTAACCCCCCCCACTGGAGCACTACCCAGAAACGGTGTCGGGTTCGAATCTGTCTACCCGACCTTCTCAACCTGGACAGCCTCTACTTCGGGCGGGGAAAGCTTTGCACCTGGTCTTGCTATATCTATTATCTGGAGTCAACTGCCCTTAGTGAAGGGACTTCCCGTTTTGTCTACGTAGTAGAGAACGCTATGAGATCACGATTCCCTAGGTGAAGATGAAGATATTCCTTTATAGGGAGGCCTAGACTACAGACCTTGGATGCATTAGCCTGGGTCCCTCGTCTTGCGATCCACTTTGGAGTTAGCAGGTCTTGACAGTTAAGGATACAGAGTCTTAGATGCCTTTCTCTATTATACCCTATCTTGGATATGACGTGCATACCATAAGTCCTTCCACAGGCTTTTGGCAGGGCTGAACTGGTACAGGATCGTACAAGCAGTTTTTCAGCTTATTCCACTCTTTCTCGAGTCAGTCGACAGTCTCGAGGATGGAGATCTTAATCCAGACCCTTGTTCACCGATTTGGTTTCTCCTTTAACTCACCTACTCTTCAAACCACTTTCGACTCCTTGGCGTTCCATACGACTACAGCTGGTGACGACTCCTCGCCATCTAGGCTGGTCCCAATTGCCTCTTGGCTTTGGTCCCAATTGCCTCTTGGCTTTTCACTCCTCGACAAGGATACCTTTGGATGGAATCTCTCAACTACTGGTTACATTTACCCATGGGCGTAGGAACCCCCAAAAATCGGGGGGGGATAGCATTTTTACTTGCCGGGTATATTCTTATTCCATAAACTAGGAGTTGTTTATCCCATTGTACAGCGCTACGGAATTTGCAGTCGCTATATAAATGATTAAATAATAACTTTAAAGGGTCACTACAGGGTAGGAATTTTACTTACCTGCATACAGCGCCGGGATCCTCCTGATGCCGCGCCCCCTATTTCGTCAAAATGACTTAATAGGAGGGTGCAAGCAGGGAGCAATAAAACGCTTCTATTCAGAAGCGTCATTGCTCTCTGGTGCGCATGCGCAGCTTTGCCGCACATGCGCAGATACTTCATAGGGCGGCATTCATGTCTCGACTAGGAAGCACCTCTAGTGGCCATCTGAGTGTCCACTAGAGGTATTCCTAATCAGTAATGTAAATACTGCCTTTCTACGAAATGGCAGTGCTTACATTAAAAAGCCTGCAAAGACATGCTATAGACACCAGAACTACTACGTTTAGCTGTTGTGGTTCTGGTGACTATAGTGTCCCTTGAATATAGAGAGTTAAAAAGAATCATCACAAATGTAAGAAATAAAATGTCTGTATCATTATTCTAAAAATTATTTTAAAAAAATAAAAAAATATGCACATTCCTAGCTTAATTTTTAGCACGACATATGACACAAACATTTTGTACTTTGCAGATTACTTTTTATATTTTTTCTACATATACAGATTGTGTAATACTGCCCCTGACTTAGGGTGACCACATTTCCTAACTGCCATTCAGTGACACTGTCAGAAATGCATTCCATACATTTTACTACCCGTCTCTACCCCTTCCATTTATGTTAGAACTCCACCTACCCCTTCCATGAATATTAGAACCACCCCTACCCCTCCCATGAATATTAATAACCACCCCTACCCCTCCCATGAACATGCACAAAAGAACCGCACCTACCCCTTCCACGCATATTAACCCCCCTAACCCTTTCCATGCATATTAGTACCCCCCTAACCCCTTCCATGCATATGAGTACCCCCTAACCCCTTCCATGCATATTAGTACCCCCAACCCCTTCCATACATATTAGAACCCACCCTACCCCTTCCATTCATATTAGTACTCCCCTAACCCTTTCCAATAATTTTTCTACCTCCCTCCTCCTCCCATCCATATTTGTAGCCCCCCTAAACCCTTCTAATTATTCTTCTACCTACCCCTCTCCCCCTATCCTTATTAGTAGCACCCCTAACCCTTTCCAATTATTTTTCTACCTACCCCTCCCCCCATCCATATTAGTAGCCCCCCTAAACTCTTCCAATTATTTTTCTACATTTGTCCCCCCTTTTACCTGACATAGCAGGGGGACCTCTGGACGTCTGGCAGGCGCAGTGTCAGACTGAGCGCTGGGTAGTCAAGTGACACTCGGCCAGGGCCGGTGCAAGGATTTTTGCCGACCTAGGCAAAAGTAAAGTTTGCCGCCACCCTCATGTGACATCACAATGCCCCACCCATATGATTTGCCATGTTAACTAACGCCAGTGCTGGAGTGCCGCCGTGTTTACATTAAAAGGCCTGCAGGGACAGGCTATAGACACCAGAACCACTACATTAAGCTGCAGTGGTTCTGGGGACTATAATGTTTCTTTAATGTGAGGTAAATTAGAGATTAGTGCCACAAATAATATGCTAGATTGTCTACTTACAACCAGATGAGGATGATGATGGGCTCTAGCTGCAGTCTGGCTCCACTGGTCTGGTGTAGAACAGGCTCTCTGGAGGCGGTTTGTAACTGTGGTCACAAAAATCAATGTTCTGGGAGAACGGGAAGCAGCTCCATTTTTTTGAGGGCTCCTTTACACAGCTCAAGGTCTGGGTCCCAGGGTCCACCTTCATGTTCCACCAATGAGTTTGTTCACAGGGGGTGGAGTGTGTAGGGGATGTCCTGATATGTGTGTAAGGAATGCATTGTGTGAATCTGTGTTTGTATGTGTAAGGGCTGCAAGGTGTGTTTCTGTGTATGTACGGGATGCAGTGTGTGCGTTTGTAAGGGGTGCATTGAGTGTGTGTACAGGGTGCATTTAGTGTGTGTAAGGAATGCATTGTGTGTTTCTGTGTGTGTAAGGTTTGCATGATTGTGCGATTGTGTGATGGATGTCAATCTCTCTCCCTCCCTTGTCACTCTCTTTCTCCTCCTCCCTCCCTCCCTTGTCACTCTCTTTCTCCCCTTCCCTCCCTCCCTTGTCACTTGTCACTCTCCCCCTCCCTTGTCACTCACTTTCTCCCCCTCCCTTGTCACTCTTTTTCCCCCTCCCTCCCTCCATCCCTCCCTTGTCACTCTCTTTCTCCCCCTCCCTCCCTTGTCACTCTTCCCTCCCTCCCTTGTCACTCTTCCCTCCCTCCCTTGTCACTCTTTCTCCCCCTCCCTCCCTGTTAATTCTCCCCCCCCACCTCTGTTGTAGCGTGGCCGAGCCCTCTATTGGTCCGCGGGTACAGGGAGCTTTTGTTTCCTGTACCCAGCCGGACTAACAGGAAGTGCACACTGAGTAGACCTGTTAGTCCGGCCAGGTACAGGAGACAGATGCTCCCTGTACCCGCGGACCATGATACAGGGCTCGGCCAAGCTACAGTGAGGGAGTGACAGGAGGGAGCGCTGAGCGCTGAGCGCTTCCCTCCTGTCAGCCCCTCTCCTCATGCTGCGCCCGGGCGGTGCGCCCTTATGGACGCACCAGCCAGGGCAAAGCTGCAGCTCTCTACAGAGTGCTCGGGCGGCTGCAGCATGGGGGGGGGACGGTGGAGCTGGGGGGATTTCCCCATAACCTGTTCCCCCCAACCCCACAGGTTCCTACGCCCATGCATTTACCTCATGTTGATATTTCTGGGGTCGAGCACCGTTTCACTACACAGATTCAGTTTGAATCCTGATAGGACGTCCCTTGGGGATACTTGGCCTACCACAGTCGCAAGTTCCACAGTACACTTGGAGTACTGGATTCACTTGGTAAACGACTAATTTGGCCCGCATTTTTTACCAGCATAATTGTTTCCTTCCAGGATGAGTCCACTTGACTGGTAGATCACGAGGGAACGTAAAGACCCTATTCGGTTTTGGGACGGAATTGGTGATGGACTCAGACGCCTAACCTGAGGTTGAAAATTTGATTACAGGAGCAAATCACCTGCTGATTTTGGCACGATCAAAGAGGTCATCTCCCACATCAAAGGTTGAGACCTGGGGGCAGTTTTTCTTGCGATCCTACATCCACGGATGACCTTCGGTATTTTACATCTTTGGGGAATGGCTAATAGGTCAGCTTTACAGTCCATGGACGTCTGCTAGGAAACAGGTCGCATCCCCAAGTACTGTGGATCTAACAGCGGACAGAGTTTTTTCACGTATTTTGGGGTACATCGACAGCTGGCATCTTCATCGATCTGTCTACTGTCTCTTCTCGCAGTTGGAAGGTCTATTTGATATTGATCTACTTATCTCCCGGAATAGGTACCAGCGAAACAAACAGCGTTGGATTTGTGGCTGAGCGTTAAAACAGCAAATACGAAGCCTCCTGTCATGTTATAAAATTGTAGATTATGTTAGCTTTAGTGTACCTATAATCTTAATTTTATTAATGACAGGAGGTGAGTATTTCCCACCCATTCTTATCCCTCCCTTGTTTAGTTTTAATAGCCTGGGTTCATCGGGTACGTATGCAACTCTGCTTGTTGTCTCTGCTACCTGTCACTTGTTCTTGAGTCTGCTTCCAAAGTAAGGGTTAGAATTTCTGTATATTATGGTATTTCTGGTTATTACACTGGGTCACTACTTGTTTGTTCAGAGTACATTTCATTGGCTAACCAACCTTTTCGACTCTCGTTTCAGTTTACAGTACTCGAATGTCCGAATTGCCTGAAATTTGTCCAAATTCATATTTGGACCGAAACGAATTGCACATGTCTACTAGCCATACATAGTTTCACTTCCATTAAAATATGAACTCGATATAACAATGGCTTAAATGGAGACAGAAGGTCAAAATGTAAAAGAAATTGTTCTAAAGTTAAAGTAATATCAATTTTCAAGTCTATAAAAATTTCTGTAACTTTCAGTTAAAGAATGATTTAATTTAAGACAATCCCACCACATATGTTTTAGTGTACCGACCTCTCTATTGCATCTCCAGCATAGATTAGAAGTATTTGATTGAAATTTAAATAGCTTTATAGGTACCATATACCATCTGTGTATATGTTTAAGAAAGTCTCCTGTATATTCACACAGTGGATAGATTTCCCAATTGTTTTAGAATAATTTTTCCAAGTCTGAAAAGGAAACGTTTTATCAGTGTCTTTTTCCCATTCTTTAATAGATTTTGTTTTCACATTTTGATTTAGAGAATATACGACTTTCCTAATCTTAGAAGATATCTTTCCATAAACTCTTAAAAGGAGTTTATAAACACGTGAATAGTTTATTCCCTTCAGGACCGGACTGTTTTGGCCATGTTGTACGTTAAGGACCAGCGCTGTTTTAACACAGTTGTGGTGTTTGTGTTTAGCTGTAATTTTCTACTCTCTCATTTACTGTTCCCATGCAAATTATATATTGGGGGTTTTTTCAGGACAAGAAGGGCTTTCTTTACATAGCATTATTTGTATCGTGTCATATAATTTAATAATAAAAAAATATGGTGAAAAATTGAAACAAAAACATGTTTTGTGACTTTTACTTGAAAAATATTTTACTTACCTACAAAAGCTAATGGAAAAAAAACTGCTAAATAGATTCAAAATGTTGTCCTGAGTTTAAAAAACTTTTTTGCAAGTTATAGGGCTATAAGTACAAGTAGGATATTGCTGTTTCAAAATATATATTTTTAAAATGTATCAATAGTGACATTGTAACCGTGTTATCTGTCATAAATCTCAGAATCACACCTCACATGTACATATTTTGTTAAAGTAGACAACCCAGGGTGTTCAATATTGGGTATGTCCAGTCTTTTTTAGTAGCCACTTAGTCACAAACACTGGCCAAAGTTAGCATTTATATTTGTTTGTGTGTTAAAAATGCAAAAAACAATTATGAACGCTAACTTTGGCCAGTGTTTGTGACTAAGTGGCTACTAAAAAAGACTGAACATACCCCATTTGCAATCCCTTGGGTTGTCTTCTTTTGCAAATGGTATGCCATCATGGGGGTAATTCTCATTCCTGGGCTACCATACGCTCTGAAAGGCAACATAACCAACCTGGCAATTTTTAATGTAAAACTATTTTACCCATATATTTGACCTGTAACTTTCAAAAACACTATACAACCTGTGCATAGAGGGTACTGTTATACTCGGGAGACTTTGCTGAACACAAATATTAGTGTTTCAAAACAGTAAAATGTATCACAACAATTGTATCATCAGTGAAAGTGCCGCTTGTGTGTGAAAAATACAAAAAACTTAATTTCACTGACAATATCATCGCTGTGATATGTTTTACTGTTGAAACACTAATGTTTGTGTTAAGCGAAGTCTCGAGAGTAAAACAGTAACCCCCATGTACAGGTTTTAGGGTGTCATAGAAAGTTACAGGGTTAAATACAGTGCTAGCCAATTAAATTCTCTGGACTTTCGGCCTGAGTTGTCAGGCACGTCCCTCAAATTGCAATCAATTAAATTACTTAATTATGTAAAAATATTACATAAATATGCACGTAGAATTTAAATATACATACATATTTATATATTTGAAGTCTACGTGTATATTTATGAAATTACTGATATAATTTTGTATATGGATATCTATATATTTCATATTATTTTTATTTATATATATATATATATTTTTTTTTCATTCTAAGTGTATTTTGATATAAATAAGCCATCCGAGGGGGCCACAGTTTGAAAGTTTTTCCAATGTCTTATCTTTTAATATTTGCTCTGAGCATTAATACAGACATTCACAGGCTGGTTAGCGCTGTGCCTCGCTACCTGTATGTTCTCCCTTGCAACAAGTAGGTTTGTGTATTTAAACTAATGATGCAGGATGGGCCCATTATATTCCCTGTTATATTTATTCTGAATTGTTGAACACGACGGGCTTGTGTCATAAAATCCAATTATGTCTGTGAATGCAAACAGCCCGGAAGCAGAATTTGTTGTCTCTAATATACATGTGAAATAAACGAAGTCTGATATGGGCAGTTTGCTCTCACTACCATGAAATAAGGTCAAACATTACTGACGTGAACATTTTTTTGGCGAGGAAATGGGAGCGCTACATGGGCAAATGTAGCATTGCTGTCAAATTCTGTAAGCATCCTTATTTCCACTGACCCTTATACAAGCACGCCAACTTTCCTGACTGATTGTACCCCTAGGAAAATTCTGAATAGAATTTAGGTTGTTGGACGCGTAGACACGAACAAAATATCATGTTACATTCATATTGTAGTGGGAGTACGGTTGTATTAAAATATATTTTTGTATTCTTAATGTTATTAATGTAATTACTAACTTTGTTTCAAATCGTTTTGAAAAAAATAAATTTAAAAAAATGTCATATCTATGTAATATGCCTGGAATGTTAACAATGTACCAAGATTAGACAATGTATGTGAATGCAGAATAATAACATGTTTTCGATTCATCATTGTATGTTGTCACGGCTTTTGTCGAATGAAATAACTTTGTAACTGCCTGTCTGTCATACTACAAATAAAGAATTTAAAATATATATATATTTTTTAAATATAATAATAATTCCCATGTGGTTTATGATACTTCACAAGTTGAGAGATATATGTTTGATGGAATATCTCACAGCCCATGTTACGGGTACCACCAGCACTAGATTTACATATAAGGTACCTGTATACAAAGCTTTCTAAATCGTCTATTGCTCCCCCATTGCTCTAAAATAGTAAATAAAAAAATAATAAACAGACGATAATATGAGTTTGATAAATTTATTAAAGGGACACTATAGCCCCCAGATCAATTACAGTTTACAGTATATCCTGTCCCTGCAGCCGTTTTCAGAGAAAAGGCTGTGTTTACATTTGCTCCCTAGCGACATCACAGATGGCCACTAGAGGTGCTTTCTGGGTCAGTGCTACACACCGTGCAGCACTGACGTTCAGCGTCTCCAGGTGAACTTTCCCCATAGAGATGCATTGATTCAAGGAGATACTGATTGGCTAAGTCAGCGTTTGGCTCTGCTCCGCCATGCCTCCTTGACAATCTCAACCAATCCAATGTTTTTTCTATGGGAAAGCATTGGATTGGCTGAGGTTATCAATTCTGATGATGTCAGCCAAGGAGGAGGATCGGGGACGAGCTGGAAATAAGGCAAGTTTTCTTACCTTTAAGGGGGAAAGGGGAGGAAAGCCACAATCACAAGACTTACCATCTGGCCTCTGCGGACCTAGAGCCGGTGTACTCGGTCAAACTGTATCTCTTTGGGGCACTCCTGGCCCAGAATCTGCTTGAAGAGCACCCTGAGTGTCTCAGACAGGGGTGATGAGTCAGGCTCCAGGAGGCCTCGAAACCGCACTTTTTGGTGGTGACTCCAGTTCACCAAATCTTCTACCTGATGCTGCAGGGAGAGGAGCAGCAGGTTTCCCTGGCGGGTGGTTGCAAGTTCTGCAGCCTGGTGTTGAAACGGAGACCCAAGCGAGCCGCATGCAAGTGCCTCCACTCTCACCTCCACATCCGTCAGATCAGTGCGCAGGGCCGAGATCTCCTTCCTGACTGACGTCTGGAACTCCTGCAGGAAGCCACCCTTGGTAAGCATGTGTTCGGAGATCATAGCCAATTCCTGCCTTATTTGTGCCAGGGCTAGATCCTGAGCGCTACTTTGAAGTAAGTCTCCCACATTTTCCTGGCGGGTGCCACTTTGTCATGCGGCCCGGAGCTTCGATGCATGCCCGGGTGGACACAAAATCATCCATCGTACCAGTGTGGCGGTGCTGGGGCTTCTTATTTTGGACCATTTTATGCGAAAAAATGCTCTATTATAGCTATTAAGTGGCCAGGGGTGAGGAGCTCAGTCACTACACGTCCTGTTGCGTGCTCTGTCCGGCTACCTAAAAGTGCAGTTTTTGTGTAAAAAAAAATTCAAAAAACTAAAATGAACGCCAACTTTGGCAAGAGTTTGTGGCTAAGTGGCTACTACAAAAGACTGGGCATACCCCATTTTGAATACCATGGGTTGTCTACTTTAACAAATGGTATGCCATGATGGGGTTAATTTTCATTCCTGGGCTGCCATACGGTCTGAAAGGTAACATAGGCGCAGCAAACCGATCTGGCAAATTTCAATGTGCAAACATGGAAAAGGGGAAAGCCCTACAGTTGACCCCTGTAAGTTTGCAAAAACCCATACAACCTGTACATTGGGGGCACTGTTGTACTCAGGAGATGTTGCTGAACACATATTGGGGTGTTCTTTGTCTGTAACACATATCAGGAACTGAGAATGTATGCCTAAAGTACAATGTGAGCGAAAAATAACACAAAAAATGATTACTGAAAAGTTTGACAAAGCCTGGTGGTAGAATTAGTGCATGGCAGTCCCGGACTGGCCATCGGGCATAACGGGCAAATGCCCGGTGGGCCGCGATGGCCATGGGCCAAGGCCGGCAGAGGAGATCTCCCCTGCCAGCCCCTGCAGGGCCAGCGCACTCCAAGCTCCGGCTCTGCTGTGTGCCTTCATGGGCCGGTGGGGAGGCACTGAGATGTGGCCACCGGCTGGGGAGGGAGGGGACTAGGAGAGGACCCGGGGAGCTCTAGCCAGCAGCCATGCAGGGTCCTCTTGCAAGGTCTGAGCGTTGTTACCACGGCAATGCTCAGATCTTGCGAGAGTGAACTCTAGCCTGCAGGCTAGAGTTCACTCTCACCACTTAGACCACCAGGGAAGGCAGTACGGCATCCTCCTCCATGGCTGAACGGCTCCCCCCCCCAGGCTAAAGGTAAGAAGGGAGGGGGGGATATAACTTTTTTTTTTAAATATTAATTTAGATTCACTCACACTAACAGCCCCCTCACACACACAGCACCCAGACAGACACAGCACCCCCAGACACACACAGCACCCAGAAACACACACAGCACCCCCAGACACACACAACACCCAGACACACACAGCACCCCCAGACACATGCAGCACCCAGACACAGACAGCATCCCCAAACACACACACAGCACCCAGAAAAACACACAGCACCCTCAGACACACAGAGCACCCCCACACACACACACAGCACCCAGACACATACAGCACCCTCAGACACACACACAGCACCCTCAGACAAACACAGCACCCTCACACACAGCACCCTCAGACAGACAGCACCCTCAGACAGACAGCACACACAGCACACTCCCACACATAAACAGCACACACACACACACACACACACACACACACACACACACATAATATATAAAATAACCCTCAGTGAGTTAACAGACAAAGAAAATTAGAAACCTAAAATCTAACGGCAGATAAATATTATGGGTGCATGATGACTAACTGTGAAAATTCCAAGTATGAAAACTGGAATGGGCACCCTCCAAATAAGGTCTTTTAGTCACAAGAGAACCCAACACACCTAGACATGGGTGGCATAACTTTACTCAGGAGATGTTGCTGAATATATATTGGGGTGTTCTTTGGCAGTAACCCTTAAAGTTTTACAGACATGTATTCTTAAATTGCTATGTGTGTCAAAAAAATCCACCATTTTTTATTATTTTTTATACCCCAAGTTTAATACCTTAGGTTGTCTTCTTTTAAAAAATATATACATGTGAAGGGTTATTCAGGGATTTCTGACAGATATTAGGTTTACAAATTTTTACTTTCGTTAATTTTTTAATAAAATGGTTTGGAAATAGCAAAATGCTACTTGTACTTATTGCCCTATAATTTTTTTTAAAAAGCTAAGAACATGTTAACATTGGGTATTTCTAAACTCAGGACAAAATTTTGATAATATTTAGCATGTTTTTTTTTTTGGCAGTTATAGATTAGTAACAGATTTTGGGGGGTTAAAGTTAGAAAAAGTGTGTTTTTTTAAATTTTTCATGATATTTTATAATTTTTTTATAGTAAATTATATAATATGATGAAAATAATTATATCTTTAAAAAGACCATTTAATGGCGAGAAAGCGGTATATAATAATACAGTAATTGAGTAAGAGGAAAATTACAGCTAAACACAAACAGCCCTTGTCTTTAAAGGACCACTATAGGCACCCAGACCACTTTAGCTTAATGAAGTGGTCTGGGTGCCAGGTCCAGCTAGGATTAACACTTTTTTTCTATAAACATAGCAGTTTCAGAGAAACTGCTATGTTTATATTAGGGTTAATCCAGCCTCTAAAGCTTTAGTGGCTGTCTCATTGACAGCCGCTAGAGGCGTTTGCGTGCTTCTCACTGTGAAAATCACAGTGAGAAGACTCCAGCGTCCTTAGGAAAGCATTATGAATGCTTTCCTATGTGACTGGTTGAATGCGTGCGCAGCTCCTGCCGCGCATGCGCATTCAGCCGAAGAGGAGGAAAGGAGGCGGAGAGGAGGGGGAGAGCTCCACGCCCGGTGCTGGAGAAAGGTAAGATTTTAACCCCTTCCTCTCCCCAGAGCACGGCGGGAGGGGGACCCTGAGGGTGGAGGCACCCTCAGGGCACTATAGTGCCAGGAAAACGAGTATGTTTTTCTGGCACTGTAGTGGTCCTTTAACGGTAAGAAAATTGAAAAACAGTCTGGCACTAAGGGGTTAAAATATGTAATGTATTTCTCATGTTTCTTAAATAGTGAAACACATGACTTTAAAATCTACATAGGTGCCAACAGTTCCGAACTGTCCCCTCTGATGAGCCACTCTGGCGAAATGCGTGCGTCAGGGGCTCAGGACGCTCCCTCGTTACACCTCTGTTTGTCAGCGTTTACTACTGCAATCTTATCATACATATCTGACACAACGAGCAGAAGGATCCTTTTCTTTTATGGAAGCACAGTCTTCTAGCAATGTTGTATTACATGGCTCTAGTTTTTGTCTAAGATTTCTGGGGTTGCTGTGGGAGGCTTTATAATAGAATAGGCTTTTCTTAAGGGGTGCCCTCAAAGGCACAATAGACTCAATTACAAGAGTTATAGCTTTGTGGTATTATTTCCCCCTTTTGTCTTAAACTCTTGAAGCCGTTTACCATATCATCAGGACAGCACTGTAAGAATCTAATTCCGTACTACTTTTAGTATCCTAGTATCTACTCCGGCTGTAATACCAAGATTTGTTCTATCACGGAGCTCTGCACGTTCCATTTTCTGGGGCTTTGGATGCCGACTAGCTAAATTTTTGGTGTTGGTGACTACATGGTTATCTAAGTATAGATAACAGATACTACGAACAGCAACATTACTTCCCGACATGGACGTACAATCCTATAGTCACTAAATATTTATTTGGTTTCTACTTGCTTCTTAGAGCATTGGGGCTTCAGTGGGTGGCGGGATTTTCCAAAGGTATTTGTTACTCGGGAATAGGAGAAATAACTTTATGGCAGTATTCCCCCTTTTTCCCTACACCCTGGAAGCCGTTTACTAACTACTAGGACAACACTGATTCATTAATCTATATTACCTTCAGGATCCTAGTGTTACAGATTTATCAATATTTGTCCAAATAGGGAGGACTGTACTTTCCATTTTTCTTTTATTTATTTATTTTTTGTTCACTATTTTAAGATGTGTATTAAAAGTTAAGTTTTCTTTTTTTTTTTTATTCTTTATTTATGTTGACAGGTATAACATGCATATATCAAATACATTTCATAGCTCAAGCGTAAATTAACATGTGCAGTGTGTACAGAGTGCCTTGACATACATATGGCATAGTCATGCAGTGATTAACACCTTAAGAATATCACCCATGGCCCCCAAAACCTATCGTACGGGCTACCGTAACACTCTCTGGTACTGCGAGTTACATTTTGTCAACTTAGGTTTGTGTTTTATAAGAAAAGAAAGAAGAGAGAAAAACAAGAGAGCATTCAATAACAATTGAAACTGTTATTGTATTAGTACATAGACATCATTGGAGTGAACGCTCCAACTGCCGTAAGCCCTCTAGTCTACCATCACCCTGTACAGTGGGTGTTACCCCGTGCTAGTTTTAGGGGTCCGCTATGTGTGTCTCGCCCACTGGTCTTATAACGGCCTAGCGTATCTTCTTGCTTGATGTGCTACCAGTAGCTGTCAGGGTAGCTGTCAGGCTGTGACCTGCGCACCTGTGATCACATCTGAGCCTTGGTTAGTTTCCAGATAAGTCTCTCCCTTCACCCTCTGGGAGACTTATGCTGCACACAGTAGTATAAGGATAGAAGTGAGAAAAAGAGTGAAGAGTGTCAAAAGAGATCAAGGTAGGGGTGGGGTGGGGGGGGGAGGGGGGAAGCAGATGGACTGCTTCCAAGTGTTTATCTATCTAGTGGACAGTGGAGCTACTGGGTTTCCCTAACCCAAGGGGCTGTCGTCCCAGGGTGCCCATATTTTTTTGAATAGTTTTTTAGTTCCCCTAACTCTTGCCGTCAGGTCATCCATCGTGTGTACCTCCCTTATTCTGTTGATGACCCTTGCTATAGATGGAGTGGTCTGCTTAAGCCAATCCGCTGCCACACCTCTCCTTGCTGCTAGGGTTATTTTATGGATGAGTTTTTGTTCGTGTCTAGTCCACCCATCTATCGTTCTACTGAGTAAGAACAACCACGGATCTAGGGGAGGGGCTCTGGACATTACCTGGGCTAGTAAATCTCTAACTTGTTGCCAGAACCTTTCTATCATTGGGCATTCCCACCACATGTGCATATACGTCCCTTTCATGCCGCACCCTCTCCAGCACGTATCGGTAGGGGTTTTTCTCATTTGGTGCAGCCTTACAGGAGTAGTTTACCAACGAAGCATTGTTTTAACGGCCTGCTCCTGTATTGTTACGCATAGGGAGGACTTATGATTAGCTTCCCAGATCTCTTGCCACTCTATGCCCTCCAATTGCTCCCCCAGGTCCCGCTCCCATTGTTCCGTGTAAGCTAGATCTCCCCCTTCGTTAGGCTCCGAGCAGAGGTGAGCGTACAGCCGAGTTATCAGACCCGTAGGAATATGGTCCTGGAGGCATATTTGTTCGAAAAAAGTCATGGGTTTTTGGGCAGCCGCCCTGACCCACGGGAGTTTTATGAAATCTTTTATTTGTAAGTACCTAAAGAAGACTGCAGGCATGAGGTGACCTTGTTGCCGTAGGATGTCAAAGGCTACTACCTCTGAATCCTGCACCAGCTGATGTATGCGTTGTAGGCCTATTCTTTCCAGGTTCCTAAAGTTCCGTGCTGCCATACCCGGTGGGAACGCTCTATTGCGAAGGAAAGGCATCAGAGGGGACGGGGCGGACGCCAGCCTGTGGCGCTGTTGATTTCTATCCCAGATATGTATAGAGTTCAATATGGCTGGGCACGTAGCCCTAATGATTGGTCTATTAACCTTGGGAACCCAGATGAGCAATTGCGGAATGTCTGCCCCCACCATCAGTGATTCCAAATCTACCCATTTACGTTCAAAAGTTAAGTTTTCTGAACACTCTCACATTAAGAACACTTTTCTGGTAAACCTTTTTTCTTTGGTTTTCTTTTTGTTCCTTTTTCAATTTTGAAGTTAATTATTTAGGGGTTGCCCCCCCCCCCCTTTTTTTTGCTACCAGATGGTGTCATCCTCTTCTACATATAGAGGCTCGACTTTCTCTCTGTCTCAACCAACAGTTCTGAATTTCCAGGACACTCCCATTTTTATAGATAGATAGATAGATAGATAGATAAAATAATTGTGTAAGCCAAAATGGAAAGGCACATGCATTCTAAAATGGATTAAATCCACGTAGGTGCACCATTTGTAGAGACAGCCTAGGCACACAAGGTGGTATCTAAAATAGCAGACTTTATTTCAGGAACATGTACAGCAATGTTTCAGCTTAATATATGAGCCTTTTTCAAGCCTATCCACATAACATATTTATATTTAGTAAAATAAACAACCAATAGCTTACACACCAGGGGAACCGTTAGATGGTTTGAAACAAAGGGCTGATACAATGTAGAGTGCATGTACACCACACTCGCTGTCGTCATTTTGACTCATAAAGCCAAATCATTAAAAAAAGGTTAAAAAAACAAAACAAAAAGGGGGAGCGGAGCCTAGCAGCCAAGCCGAATGGCTGCACATCAGAGGAACTCCTCAGAAAAACAATTGAATTAAGCTCAAAAAGTGACAATAAACCCTAAAATTGCCTACCCTTCAGCCAAACTATTTGGAGGTCTTCCTGACACACTCTCCCTCCCCCCCCCTGCCGGAAAGGGATATCCCGGCACACGCCTCAGGTGCACGGCAACACTCCAGACTACTTACCAGCACTACACAACATGGCGGAGGTCACGTGCCAGCCAGAACAAAGAGCCTCATTGCTGCCACTCTCGGAGCGGCTGGACTGCCTGCTGGCCAATTTCTGGACAAAGCTCTCGGGCCACGGGAGTGCTACAACAGCGGCACCACCGGCAACAATCTCACGGACCGTCGAGAAGAGGGCGCAACTACAACCTGGAAGGGAGACTCGACACAAGCCATGGCGGGTCAGCAACAGACTGCCAGTGGTGAGTTACCCACCTGACAAGCAGCGAGCTCCGGGTCTGCCCGTCCGAACCCCCCTCTCCCTCATGGGGACCATCAACCTGCCCGGGCAAAGAAATCCCGTCAGACACCCCCAGACTCCCAGACATGACTCAGCCCAACACCTCTGCTTGATAGAGATGGGAAGCAAGGGGGGGGCCTTACCTTACCAAATCGCCCCAACCGCAGACCCCAGCAACCACCAGCTCCACAACCCCAGCCAGAGACAACAAGCCCACAGCAGTCTCACCACAGGTCAGGGGACTTTTGCCACCTTACCCTCGGACCACATTCCGGCTGGGAACTGGAAGAACATCGACTGGGGGGACCCCCACCGACCACTACTTCGGGCACCAAACCTAAGGCTGATGGGGATCGGTTAAACCTGGACTTGGCATCACCTAATAAGAACGCTACACATTAGGCTCACCACGATGTATACACTTAAATGATGCCTGCACCTGAGCTAGCCATCTTACTAGCAAGCAACATATTTTAAATATTTTGAATAATCGCTATAAATAGCTTAATAACCAACATGCAGAAACTCATAAGCAACTACCAGTACACCTAGCACAATCTGCAATAGGAACACCTTACTCTATAACACTAAACATATATTACTCTGCTATGCTTAATCTTGTAATTTACCTTCTATATGCAGCAACACAGAACAACACTTAGATAAGCAATGTTATTATATATAAAACTGTGCAGTATCCACTAATGCCTAACTACTGTCAAGCTATGTCAAAAAATGCTTACTCTAGCTGTTGTGGCATTATAAGCCAGATGTGATCTATCAATGCACAAATAAAATAAAGAATAAAAAAAAGATCTGTCTAAAACATCTTTAAGGTTGCAACTGGTTCAAAAATAGGCATCAGGAGCCCCTCTCGCACAAGTGACTGTATGGCAGACTATGGTTTTTTCACTTAAATCTTCCTCAAAAGACTTAATCACTACCCCTGGCTCCTACTGCCTACTCCTCCATGTTAAACACCTCAGAGCACTTCTCCACCGTTCCTGCGGATGATTCGGGAGAGCCTATAGCGCAGAGTGCAGTTATATGTGCTAATTTTAATATAAAATGTGAATAATAACAATCATTGCTATTAAAATGCCAATCGAAGTGCTATGTGATACAATCAAGTAAAAATACACATTACAAGATATTCTTAGACCGTTAAGGAAACTGCTTCATTTAAAAATCCATGTTGTATTTATTATTAATTATTTAAGGTGCAATGTGGAAAATAGCTCCAAGAGAGGATACTCCCTTTATATTCTTTGTGAAAAGCCCTCGGAAAAAATAACAAAATAAAATTAAAAAAACAATACGATAAAAGGAACATAAAAGTGCAACAAAATCATGTAAGTAAAATGCTACTAGCTACCGTGTCACTATAAACCCCATAAGCCCCCAGTACAGCTGCGCCTACTTCCCAACTACAATCAGTTAAGCAGTCACCACATGTGCTGTTGCTGTAAGCAATATGGAAAAATATTTCTTAAAGGCCCCCCACCGTGCACTCAACATGGCTTCCTTCCTCACAAATTTATAGACTGGAATTGCAATTGCAGACCTAAATCTTAGGCCTATGGCCTGGCCACATAATAGTAACAGTTAAAGGGCGCTTTCAGGCACAATTACAACTTCATCGGAATGCCGAATGTCCCTGGCGCCAAGCTCACCGCTCGGGGTTAAACCAGTGGCGGAACTAATGCAGAGAGGGCCCTGGTACAAGAAAGTTTTTTGGCCCCCCCATTAATGTAAGCGTGGCCAAAAGGTATATCCCCATCTATCAAACAACTCCAACAATGCTATGTCAACTGGGGATCTACCATTTGCCCATTATTGCAGGGTTGTATTTTTGAGTAGTGTTTGTGCGTTTGAATGTAAGCATGTTTTTGTATAGAGTATATGTGTGCATGAGGTGCGTTTGAATGTACTGTTGCCATTGATTTTAGTGGTGTACTTGTTTGTAGTGTTTGCATTTCAATGTAGGGGTGTGTTTGTATATAGTGTTGGCTTTTAAATGCAAGTGTGCATTTGTGTGTAGTGTTGGTGTGTGATTGTAAGGGTGCTTGTATATAATTTTAGTGTTTAACCCCTTAAGGACTGGACTGTTTTTGCGATGTTGTACATTTGCGACCAGGCATATTTTTACACTTTTGTGGTGTTTGTGTTTGGCTGGAATTTTCAGCTCTCTCATTTACTGTTCCCATACAAATTATATATTGTTTTTTTCAGGACAAAAGGGGCTTTCTTTACATACCATTATTTATATAATCTCATGTATTTTAAATAAAAAAAAATAAAAAATATGATGAAAAATTGAAAAAAATACATGTTTTTTGACTTTTACTTGAAAAATCTTTTACTCATCTACAAAAGCGAATTAAAAAAACTGCTAAATAGATTCCAAATTTTGTCCTGAGGTTAAAAATACCCCATGTTTACATGCTTTTTTGCTTTTTTTTTGCATGTTATAGGGCTATAGGTACAAGTAGAATATTGCGGTTTCAAAACATAATTTTTTTAAATTTATCAATAGTGACATTGTAACACTATTATCTGTCATAAATCTCTGAATAACACCCCACATGTACATATTTTTTTTAAAGTAGACAACCCAGGGTATTCAATATAGGGTATGTCCAGTCTTTTTTAGTAGCCACTTAGTCGAAAACACTGGCCAAAGTAAGCATTCATATTTGTTTGTGTGTGAAAAAAGTAAAAAAACTAAATTGAACGCTAATTTTGGCCAGTGTTTGTGACCAAGTGGTTACTAAAAAAGACTGGACATACCCGATTTGCAATACCTTGGGTTGTCTTCTTTTGCAAATGGTATGCCATCATGGGGGTAATTCTCCTTCCTGGGCTACCATACGCTCTCAAAGGCAACGTAACCAACCTGGCCATTTTCAAAGTAAAAATATTTGACCCATATATTTGACCTTGTAACTTTCAAAAATACTATAAAACCTGTACATGGGGGGTACTGTTTTACTCAGGAGACTTTGCTGAACACAAATATTAGTGTTTAAAAACTGGAAAACGTATCACAACAATTATATCATCAGTAAAAGTGCTGTTTGTGTATGAAAAATGCAAAAAAAGTCACTTTCACTGACAATATCATCGCTGTGATATGTTTTACTGTTTTGAATCACTAATATTTGTGTTCAACGAAGTCTCCCGAGTAAAACAGTACCCCCCATGTACAGGTTTTAGGGTGTCGTAGAACGTTACAGGGTAAAATACAGTGCTAGCAAATTCAATTCTCTGGAATTTCGGCCTGGTTTGGCAGGCAGGTCCCTTAAATTGCAATCAATAAAATTACTGAATTATGTAAAACTATTACATAAATACGCACGTAGAATTTAAATATATATGCATATATACTACGTGTATATTTATATAATTATTTATGTAATTTTGTATATGGACATATGTATATTTCTTATTATTTTTATTTATTTTTATATACATAGATATATATACAAATTCATTCTAAGTGTATTTTGATATAAATATATATATATTAATTTTAAAATACAGTTAGAATAAAATTTCATATAGATATATAATTTTTTTTAATTTTTTTATTATTATTTTAAATTTTTTTTATTTCATTTAAATTACTTATTATTTATATATATATACAATATATATAGTTATTATATATATATTATATATATTATATATATAAGTGTATTTTTATATTAATATAAGTACATATTAATATAAAAATACACTTAGTATGGCATTATATAGATGATATATAGACATATATTATATAGATATATTATATGTCTATATATCATATTTATATACACATATATAATTTTTTTTATTTATTATTAACATTAACTTTATTTTTTTTAATGATTTTACACATGCAGGGAGACTGCCTGTCAGCACAGACAGTCCCCCTGCAGGCAGACACATGGACACCCATTGTGACCATGTGATCGCTGTGTTAAGCGATCACATGGCCACAGGGGTCCTAATTCAGTGTGGGGAGACTGTCTGGGCTGCAGGCAGTCTCCCCACAACCGGAGCAACACTGATCGCCGCCGGGGCAACGACGGCGATCAGGTAAGTACCCCCAGACCGTTAGGACGGTTCAGGACCGTCATCGGTCCTCAAGGCAAAAATGCCGATGACGGTCCTGAACCGTCCTCGGGCGCGAAGGGGTTAATGCGGGGTGGGATGTGTTTGTATGTAATGTTTGCGTTTGATTGCAGGGTTGTATTTGTATATAATGTTGGCTTTTAAATGCCTATGTACATTTGTGTAGTGTTGGTGTTTGAGTGGTGTGTTGGCATGTTTTATTGGTATCTCTAGAATGGGCCTAACATAAACAGGCAGTCTTCAAACTAAATGAGAGAATAAAACGGAGTCAGACCAAGGATCAGGTTATAAAAAATATACAGAATTGGTAAACAAGCTAGGATCAAGGAGAACAGAGGAAAAGAGGAGAGGATAATCAGCAAAAAAGATTTTGAATAATCAGAAGATATCGGAATATACTTTCAGATATCCAAGACCATGACAGAGCACTGAGCAGACTGTGTAATGATCTTAAATAACGCCAGATGAAATGCCATTGTACGGTATCAAATTATGATGCCAGAACATCTTCAACTGATATCGGCAACATGTCGAGGCTCACTGTGGCTCCAAAAAAATGACAAAACAAATATGACGGCATGTATGAGAAGCATGGCGTCAATACGTACCTGGGGCAAAGAGTATTACAGGAAGTTGCAAAATTATGTCTTTATTCTCAATGGTTTCTTCATGCCACAAAAATTTGGCCAACATTTGTCTCAGTTCATTACCATGCAATTCCCATCAAGGTGAATGGAAGTAGGTGCTACCACACTATTCAGCCTCCAACACCACCTTGTGTAGCAGGGTAGGGATTGAAGAGAGTCTGTAATGCTCTAAATATGCTTGAGTGCCCCTGTTTACGCCTGTGTGTCTTTCTTTACCTCTCTGTTTCTTTATGTGTACCTCTGTGTTCTTGTGTGTGTGTGGCTGTCTGTGTTTGTCTGTCTTAACCTGTCTGTGTCTCTGTATGGACCTGTTTGTGCCTGTGTGTACCTGTCAGCTTAGCTGTGCCTGTCTACGCTGTGTTTGTCTGTCTTTACTTGTCTGTGTCTCTGTGTGTAGCTCTCTGTGTTTCTGTGTACCTGTGCGTGCCTGTCTGTGTTTGTCTGTCTGTCTTTACCTGTCTATGTCTCTGTGTATACCTGTTTGTGTCTGTGTGTACCTATCTGCTTACTTGTGGATGTGTGTGATGGTGCCTTTGAGTGCTTGTGCATTTGTCTGGCCATCTGTGTCTATGTGTGTATCTGCGTATGGATCTGTGAGCCTGTCTGTAAATAACTGTGAGGGTTAAGGGTAAGGGGAGCTGGTGGGACCAGGTTTGTTTTGGGGCTCAAGCCGCAAATATTCTTTGACTCTTGCAATGCCCCTATTGTGTGGACATGATTAGTTTCAGGTATAAAGGCACAGTGGGTGTGTGATGTTATACCTGACAAATTCCAATTTAAAGAAACTGTGGAAGATGTCTGCAATCTGGTCACACATTCTGTCCTTCAGCTTGTTCCCCTGGGCTCCTGGTGCTATCAGTCTTAGGGTTCTACTCTACATTTGCTCTCACTCTCTTCCAGAATGATGCATTCTTTTGATCTGGCCTTGGTATAAATCACTCTCAAGTCTGATCCTGGTATTTTCCAATGTGATACATTTGCTTGCTAAAATTGTTCTGACCTTGATACTAAGACACATTCTAGCGATCAAGGCTGTTCTTTCGTTGGAATGGGTTACCCAGAAGATCATACTTTTTCAGGAGCTGCTCTGGAATCATAAAACAAACTCCGAATTCTTCAGACTCTAATAGAAAAAGGAATCATATTGTCATCACTTTCCAAAAAGAACTACTCATCGTCAAAGTGGAAAATGGGTTCTGAGAGGCAAACTGTACTCCGTCAGCTCCTCGAACCTTCCAAATGTCTTCAGAGAGGAACAAGGCTTATTTGCAGTGCCATCTTTAGAAGTATAATCTATCAGAAATTGAAGCTGCCTTGGAGAACAGATTCCAGGAGACGTTAACATTTATGTTGAGATGTCTTCTATTTTGGTCGTGTCATGATGATGCCAAAAAGGAGTTTGTCTGCATGCTTTGTCTCTCTAGCTGCAGGGATTTGTTGGTTCTCCAACAGTAACAGCTGTCTAAACTGATTACATAGGAAAGGAATGCAGTAAAGTATGCAGGATATCTACAATATTATAAACAAGTCGTGTTCCAGATCTGGTTTCCAGTGAATGCCAAGACAAATAACCAAATGGACAATTTTTTGAAAGACATCAGTCTTATAATTTGAGGGTAACTGGTAAGGTCATATTCTGACCATAGATCCTGAAAAGCATTGGTACGGCAGATGACATATTTACCACTGATTTACACTATTATTTGCCAAAGAAGATGAAGTGGTATGCCATAGAATGGTAATCATAATGTTTAATAATTATTTACAAATTGACACGTGCTATTGAGCTGTTAACAGTGTCAAACTAAATCACATTCTCACATTTGACAAAGGGTCCGTATACCTTACATTAAGCAGTCAAACTTCCTGGCATTAACATGTACTTTGTGTGGTTATAAGAATAAAACTGGGTTTACTCTGCATTCATGACCATTTCCTTTTGACCAAATGTAGAACCCAGCGCCTTTCACAATGGAGTAATTAGGTACCTCTTTCTACACCTCCCTTAATTTTTTACCTTACTACCTCATTTCTAGTTCTGTCCTCACATGAAGGTGTCTATTTTGGGATGATAATGACCCCCGCCTCTTCTTTCCCACCCTGTAGGCTGACTCTTGCATATATTATAAAGTAGCTTGAGAGGGACGTACAGTACTGTAGGCAGCAAACAGTTCACATTCCATTGGTGAAAGAATCTCTCATACACTGCACCTGCCTCCTTTCCCATCTGTCTGATTAGATCCATGGGTAGTAACTACACAAAAACATCAATATCTCTTTTATCAAGCAGCTTAAAGTTGAAAAAAATGCACTTATATGTTCATGGCGACATCACCGTCCCATGATGCCCTGGGTGCGCAGATACCCACTTGGGTATCTGTAGAGAAGAGTCATATGAGAGATGTATGTGGACTCAGGCATTCATAGTGCAATGCGAGAGCAGGAGAATGGGCATATGGCACTGCAGGTGTTAATTTAATTAATATGTGCCAGACAGACATGAAACGTAATATATATATTTTTTTAAATGGTACTTTTAAAAAAAAATCTATTTTTTTAAAGTGATAATTGGAGCTTACTTATATATAGCTATCTTGTTGTGCAAAAACCCTTATGTGACAACTCCACTGTAATTTTTCTAATTATACTATTTGCAATCCTGATTACTATTCCATAAACTTACTTATATTTTATTCAGGATTCTTTTTAAATTAAATGTTTTCACTGTCTTAGAGAAAACCCAGGCAAGATGCTTTACGATTAACATTAATATTGATTACTATTCCAGATTAAATATTTCAACATTTAAAATTGTGCAGTCGACCCCTAATAGGAAATATATGTTTCTTCGTATGGGTGAAATTTACTTTGTTCTACATCACATTAACATCTTCAACTTTATAATAGATTATAATAGATTTTTAATAGAGCCCTAAGCAGGGTGTACCCCCACAAACCCCATCACAATATGTAATTGTATTGTATAATCAAGTGATACCCAACACTCCATATCCATATTCACTATATGTCCTCTATGTCCTTATTCAATATCTATATACCCCTAAAGCAGTGGTTCTCAAACCAGTCCTCAAGACCCACCAACAGTCTATGATTTAGAGATTGAAATATTGTGTCTAAGGTGATTTTAGAAAAAAAAAAACACTTTAGACTCAACAGGGCAATCCCTAAATCCTGGACTGTTGGTGGGTCTTGAGGACTGGTTTGAGAAGCACTGCCCTAAAGTCATGTACTATCCCCTAATCATATACACTGCATCTTTATTCCCAATGTCTTATCCCCATCCTTAAAAGAATACTCCAAGCAACACAAGCACTACCTTTTCTTCCCCTCAATGTCAGGGGTCAACCATTTTACAACGGTTTTACTTCTTACCAGAAGGCCCTTTTTTTGCCTCCTCTCCAGGAGAGCTGGATGCTTTTTCTAGATGCTTCAGTTAGCTTTCCTGAGTAAAGCACTGGAGCGTCTATTGATCTCTCTCGGCCAATAAGCTAAGCCCCGTACTGTCGGACTTGGCTTAGACAAAGAACATCCGATGATCTGAAGGCTGTAATGGAGGCAGGGTGCGGCACCTGGTGATCCCCGGGTGTGAAGTTTCTAATAGTTCTGGTGGGGCCACGGCACTCTGGCACCATAACCACTATAGCACACTGTAACAGTTATAGTACTTGCAATATTCCATTAAAAAACACCATAACCCCTACACACAGCCAAATCCTTTCATCCTCACATCCTCACATAGATATCCAAAGTCCTTAGACACATTGCCAAACTCCCCAGCCATGTTTCCCTCTCTCTCTCCAAAATAACACGTCCTCATCTCCATCCCCCAAACCTCATTGTTACATATCCATCCCCAATGTGTCACATCCACATCCCCAGTTCCACAGTAAAGAGGCATCATTAGCACTTTTATACTATGTGGTCAGAAAGCTTGCAATTATTATATCAAATACATTTTATTTTTCTTGCACAAAGGTGACTTAGAAGAACAGTCCAAACATGTTTGTTTTGCTGTATATGGCAACCCAGCTCCTCTGTTCTTTTTACATATTTACAAAGTCATTACATTCTCTAATTAGCTTCTTATGAAAGTATCAAACTGTGATCTAACCTGACCTGAAGTCATTAATACATTTTGTTCTTAGTGAAAATTTTCCATAAACAAAGTACAGGCAATAAGTCAAGGTGACTTTGTTTCATCCAAGTATAAAATATTGCTGAAATCCATGGAATTCTATAAACAGATATTTTTTTTTTCTGTGCTGCAGGGAGGCTGAACGCCCATCTGTTTCACGAATGTCTGCAGCAGAATACATTTGTGGATATTTAATCAACTGGGAAAGATATATGTAATAGAATTCTCTCTCTGCAGGGATAGTGCCACTTGATTTAAAATGTGTTCACGAGGCCTTTTATTCTCGTAGAGAGAAAGTGGTTTGAAAAGACTTTAAGTCTACTCCACGATGAAGCTTTTTGTCGGCTCAGAGAGTCTTTACTGAAACCGTTCTATGTTGAAAATAAACTAGAAGCTTAAATTCATCCTTAGTGATAACAACACTTCCAGTTATAGATCGTTCCTCTGGGATCTAAACAAGGCTAGGCTCTAGCTTCTCCTTCAAGAGGGGAACTGTGCCAAATTCAGATTCTACTTCTGGAATATGAAACTGTGCCAACACTGTCCTACTGTAAGATGGAAATATTTTCTTGTGAAAAACTATGCAGAGTCAGCTTTAGTGGACCTGGTCCTAGGCATGCACAGCCTATTAGCATATCAACATTACTTAAAAATACTAATTGAAAATGTAGTTAAGAGAATCCACATTGCTGCTCTAATGAATAATTGGAGTAGACAGAGATAGGCATTATTTATTTTCTTCAAGCGTAACAAGCTGACCAACACCAACACTAAGGCAAATTGTCATTTGCCAATAGAGACCTAAATAAGGGACAGCGAAGACAATTTAATCTGGCACATCTCTTACACATTTACGCTTACGCTTTTGGTCCCGGTGAGGGTATAAGATCGTGGTGGCCCTAGGAAGGGAGATGGCGCATTTTGTAGGCCTGCATGCATATTTTGAATCTTCACAAGGATGCATCATGAAGGGGCTAGACAGTTAGTCAGGGATAATAATATTGTAATATAAAAAATATGTGGAGGAGTTTATTGGGGAAAAAAATGCCATCTAGATTCAGGATTCTAGAGACATTAATGGACCAGTCATCCTTGTGTCTTGTGGTTTATTCATATATAATAATATGTATGCAATATATATATCCGCAAGATCTTTTGGATAAAGAATGAAATCTCTTAAAGGATTTAGTTGAACAGACATGTATTTCTAATGCTATAGTGTTCTCCAATGTTTAATGTCAAAGGAGTGCTGCACACAAGTAAGGTTGCATAGGAAATCTGTGGAAGGGGGTCCGCAGCCCACTAGGAACAACTAAAAATAGAGGTCCACAGATGTCACAACATAAGGTGAAGGCAAAATAAAATATTAATTGGAAATAAAAAATAAAGTAAAAAAAGATATGTTTTGGCAAAGAGGCCTTAGTCATGACACCTGTGGGCCCCTATTTTTAGCTGTAGTGTTCTCCTATCTATTTAGATTCAGGGAACCCCGCAATTAATTAAAAAAAGAAAGAAAAACATAGCTTTTTTCCAGCGCCACAACTCACTCAGTGCAGCTGCTCGTTCTTCCTCGTCTCACCCAATCCAGTGCTTCACCTAGAGAAGCCCTGGGAATGAAAACCAAATGATGTATATGAGAAGCATTCAGAGGAGGAAGACGGCCACCAGAGGTATGTTTAGCCCTGCACTGAAAACATTGCGTATCTATTAAATGGCAGTGTTAAATAGTACAGGGCAAAAATAGCAGGGGCATTGCACCCAGACCACTTCATTGACATGACGAGGTCTGGGTGCCTTTTAGTAGTCCTTTAAATTGCGTGGTGTGGAATGCATGTAAAATGGTGATATGCGATATAATAAGTGCATTTATGAAGAATATTATGTTATTAATATATAGCGCAGGTTGTTTTCTAAAACTAAAAGGGGATCTGTTACTTTCTCGGATTTTCAATATCTTTACATATCCCTATATTTAACAAATATGTGTTGTGAGGTGTGAAAAATAAAATTAAAAGTGGAATTCAACACCTCTTTATCCTGCAACTGGGCTCCTCCATAGAAACATAGAATGTGACAGCAGACAGGAACCATTCGACCCATCTAGTTTGCCCATCTTAGCTCTATATTAGCCATTGTTATAAACTCTGTCCTTTGCATTTGACAGTCAGGCTAGAGAAATCTTACAAAGAAGAGGAGAAATTAAACAATGTTTCTATGTGTTCTCTCCATTTGCAATGTTTGCCTTGGCCTTCTCTGAACTGGATTATGATGTCACTTGCTAAATCTTTTATAGAATTTAAAAGAAAACAGAGTTTCTCGTGAAAAATAAGGTCAATGCAAGTTATAAATGATTTTCAATGTTTTATTTCATGGTGCAAATTCTAAAGAAGTGGTTGTTCACGTTAAAAGAAAAACATGTTTTGATAATATACGGTGGCGAGCATTGGGCCTACGAGAAACGTCAATTCGAGATGGACCTTTGTTTGACCTGCTTCAGTGCTTTTACACTTCAAAAAACCACTTGACGAAAAAAAAACCTCAACTTCCTAAACATCTCCTAAATGTGGCTAAATCTCTTACCCCTGTCCTGTAGAGACAAGAGTGACCTCTGAAGTTCATTGCCTTGAGGGAAAAACACGAATAAGCCCACCACTTCTCATACAGCGTTTCAGCATTTAACTGCCACGGTTTGACTTTATAGCTGATTTAAGGGTACTTGCAAATTCTATTTGATTAAGGAAATGTGACATATATATATATATATATATATATATATATATCTGCCATTCTCTCCCCTCAGTACCCTCTGTGTTCCCCTTTTATATCTGGGTATTTTGGTTCATGCTATATTCTGAAATGATAGTTAAAATTTATATGATTAAAGTAGTGAATGTTATTCAGTACCGTACACAGATGCGTCAAATGTTCATTGTTTACTTAAAAATAAAGATTGTCCCTCCCCTCCAAAAAAAAGCTTATTATACAGTGAAGGAGGCCGATGAATGAACAACACATTGGCCAGCTCTATTTTACAAGTTGTCTTCCAAAGTTCTTAGATAGATATATTTAGTAGTAGTAGTAGAATGTTAAAAGAGGGAACGAGATGATTGTGGACACAGTGGTTTTAAATACCTCACAGCTGGTAATGGTAATTAAAACCCATATATATTTAAATTACCAGCTGTGAAGTTTTTAACCACTGTGTGCGCAATCACCTTGTTCCCTGTTTGACCTCCGTATGAATTAAGCATGAAAGTGACGTTGCCCTTGAGTGATTTATTGACTTCACTGGGTTTTAATTACAGCACCACTAATCCTGAAAGGTTTTTAGCTAGTTGTAGAATGTTGTTTGATGAGCAAGTTGCACAGTGCTGGAGTAAAGATTTAGATAACTTACTACAATTGGTTGAATCAACCAGAATTGCCCGTTGTACTTACATATTTCATAAGCGTTAGAATTCTTTCAAATCTGATGGTCAAACCCCATGTACAAAATTGTTGCAGTTTTTATTTTCTATTTTGTAATTCCTATAATTTTTGTACAACTTTTTTATTAGACATTATTAACTTTGACTTATGCTACAAACAATGGAGTTTTGTTTCATTTCTTTAGGATATAGGTCTTCCAACAAAAGATGGCCATCTATTTTGATGCTCTTACATGCTCACATCTCATTAAATATAAAAATCAGATTCCTATAAAAAGTTTGAAACCTTTAGAAGAACACATTGCTTTTAGACCTGACATTCTGAAATTCTACCGAAAGACTGAAAAGTTCAGCCCCTTACTTGGGGTTGGAGACAAGATTGGACCAAACTATAAGGCAGAGGTTTCTAAACCAGTCCTCAAGGCACGCCTACCAGTCCAAGTTTTAGGAATTAACCAGTTGTGTCTTTTTTCTTTCTAAAAACACCTTAGATACAACTGGGTAATACTTAAATTTTAGATTGGTAGGTGTGTCTTTAGGTTTGGTTTGGAAAACCACTGCTATAAGGAACCATTCTATTAAAGTATACAATGAATACATAGCCTAAAATAATATTTTGTTAATTTTTATTGGTGGTCAATGTATCCTTGGACTGAATCCAAAGGCCACGGTCTTTAAAAAAACAGACATGGAAAATCATGAATGTATATCTTGTAGATAAATGATTAATATAAAGGTACCCGCAGTCGAAAGCTTTATATTTAATCTCCTCTCCGTGATCTGAAGTACCTGTGTTCTGGAATTTATTTAATTCATAGGAAAATTACCACATCCTTAAAGGAACACTATAGTGTCAGGAAAACAAAGCGGTTTTCCTGACACTATAGTGCCATGAGGGTGCCCCCACCCCAGGGTCCCTGTCCCGTGGCACTGAAGGGGTTAAAACCCCTTCAGCAGCTTACCTTATTCCAGCACCGGGCTCCCTCGGCGCTGTTGACCTCTCCTCCCCCACCGGCGTCAGCTCCCGAGTGGAGCGGAATGCGTATGCGCGGCAAGGGCCACGCGCGCCTTCAAACAGTCCATAGGAAAGCATTTCTCAATGCTTTCCTATGGACGCTCTGTGCGATGGATAAGAAAATCCAATGTTTACCTCTGAAGGGTTAAAACCTGAGGGACCTGGCACCCAGACCACTTTATTGAGCTGAAGTGGTCTGGGTGACTATAGTGTCCTTTTAGTAAAAACATGCTAACAGGCTTATGCAAGCACATATAAAAGCGTCATCTCATTACTAGAATGTGACATTGGAACTCTAAGACATTTCACTGTAACTGAAAACAGTTTTGTGAATTTCTTCTCTTGTCACTGACGGAAACGTGGGGAAGGTACATGTCTGAATGTTGTGTTGTTTTTTATTATATGGGCTTACATGAATACAGATCTAACTTTCTGTTATACACAATCTGCATTTTATTTTGTTAACATTGTATAGGTTGCAAAGCAGATTTTTTTTATTGTTTGCACCAACTTTGTGTGTTTTTTTGATATTTTGTTTAGATGTGCTTTTGATAAATTTTACAGTTTCCTATTAAGTGGGCGCAGTGTTACGCACCATGTTTTCTTAAAAGTCAAAGGCAAAAGAGACCTTAAAAAGAAAAACAAAAAAGCTAAGATTTATGCATCATGAGCCGTAATGCTAACCACTTAAGTACATAGCTTCAGAAGCAAAAAGACAGTATGACCGAACAATTCCTTCTTGTGTTCTTAAGGGATTATTGTAGTCAAAACTGCAAAAAAAGTTTACCCTACAATAAAACAAATGAAAAATTTTATATACCAACATGTTTTAAAGTTCCCCTCAAGTAAGTGGATTTATTAGCGAGATAAAAAAGTTGTGCACTTGGCCCAACCATCCCTTACAGTCACACTACTATAACGTTATCAATGTTCTTTTGGATGCTAGAAACATTGTCGTGCAGACCATAACCTGGACTCACCTTAAAACACATCGTGTGTGCAATTAGAAAGTATTGATCTGTAGTGTGTAAATGAAAAACACGTCACCCCCTAGGTAAAGCAAAAATGCGTAACCCACGGGTTTCATATTTCTCAGGGGTATAATCTTCAATAGCAGGAAGGCAGTCTGGAGTGACGAATGGTTCACTAAGACTTTTAATGGTAATTTCAGTTTTATAAATAACATTTGAGAAGAGGAAAAAAACAGAAAGATGAAGAGAACAGAGAGTCTTGGCGTGAACATGGAGAGGAAAAAAAGACTCTCCCAATGACAGTGAAATGGACAACGGAAGCAAAATGGGATATGAAGGACAGAGCAGGACAACTTGCTCCATCGTGCGGGTGGTATAAGACGCAGTGTAATTTACAAGTTGGCGTCACAACGCTCCAGAGGAATGTCCCACAGCTTATTGTACACCTTCCATCATCTTCAGGAACTCTGCAAAAACACAAGAATACATGTCAAATGTGGTGGCAATATGCAGGGCAGGATTGCACATTAGGCAGAGTAGGCACCTGGCTACAGGCACCTGTCCTGTAGGGGGCACATGCTCTGCCTGTTAAAATTCCTCTCCCTACCTGTGTTTGCTGACTAAATGACTGTGGGACTGTTTGCATACAGTCTAAGGAGCCTGATCTTTGTGGGCCCATTGCGATCAGCAGGAGAGAGAGAGGAGAGGACTGGGACAACTCAGGAATTAAAGGTCCACACTGCTCTCCACACACATTGTCCACACATACTGTCCACACACATTGCAACAAATCAGCCAAAAATGTAACAAAAATGAACATGAAGAGGAAGGGAATTGGATCACCACTTAGATAATAGTACTTAAACAGTGTATAAATACAAGAACAGAGCAAATAACTTAGAAAACCTTATTTCAGTACATTCAAAGAGTTATCTTAATTAATAGACTAAGCACTCTATATGAATATATTATCTAAGTGGAGATCCCATTTCCTTCCTTTTCATTTCCCGTTTTGCTTATTTTGGCTGATTATTAAAGGGATATGATCAATGGAGCAGTGAGCCATGATGTATACAGTTTGGAAGGGGCGGATGGATTTTGGGGAGCTTGAGAATGATGTACCCACAGGCGCTTGTGATGTAAATCCAGACCTAGCAGTATATTGGTGCACAGTGGCAGTAATTTGCGATGTTGTATAAAAATCGAGCCACATGCAGACTCAACATACCATCAAAGTCTATTTTGCCATCATTGTTTTTATCTCCGTCCTTCATGAGCTCCTCAATCTCTTCATCTGTGATACTTTCTCCTGAGGAACGCAGGATCTCGGCCAACTCCTCACCGTCAATGTACCCATCAGCATTTCTGAAGGTGAAAGACACATAGTATTATATTATGTACATAATCCTATAAAGTTGCAGATAGCTCTGTGGTATGACACACCACTAGCAGTCCTGACCCATATCTCAGGTTGGGTTCCATAAACATATCCATATTTCAGAGAATTGTTTCCATTTTGGGTATTTATGCCCAATCTTTCCAATTCCCTTGTCCCTTCTGACAACATCCTCTATGGTGGATTATCATTTTTGCATATTGTCCAATACTAATTTAGGCTTAATATTTAATATTTTTGGTTACACTTTTCAAATAATTTAATATTTTTGGATAAACTTTTTAATTATATATAAAAAAAAAATAACTCATATACCGGTATATTAAAAAAATATATCAAAATATTAAAAGATTTTTCATGATATTAAAAGTTTATAAAAAAAATCTTACAAAAATAAAAAAAGCTTATCGAAAAAAATTTAATTAAATTGTTCTTTTTGGAAGAACTTTCAAATATTTTTTTTTGAAAAATTAATAAAATACCAGAAGTATATCATTAATAAAATATGTTTTATCAACATATTAAAATATTTTAATAATAGTGAATCATTTTAAAAGTTGATCAAAAATATTAATTAATTGAGTCCTTTTATCGAGTCCTTAGTTTTAGAAATTATCTTAACATTTTATAAAGTGCATCAAAATAAAGTAAAGTGAAGTAAATAAAATCTATATGCCATAGAACACTTTCTTAACAATGTTAAGTGTTTATGTTTTTTATGTGCAGAGAATGTGGGGCACATTACTTCGTGTGTTCACAGAACACAGTAAGAAAAAAACAGCATGATGTAAGTTAGAAGTTGCCTTATGTCACTTGAGATTGGGTATATATTTGGGTCATGATGCATGTGTAAATCTTAGTAAGTTCGGGACTGCCATTAGCAAGGCTAAATAAGGGTATCACTGACTTGTCAAAGATGCGGAAGCATTCAGCCAACTCCTCCTCGCTTTTTCCCTGAGCATCCTCTTTCATCTGGCGCACCATCATGACCAAGAACTCTTCAAAGTCGATGGTTCCGCTGCCTGCAAGATAATCCACCACATTCCATAATTTCAGTACATATTTGCCATTTCTACTGCTAATACATATTTCTTAATAAAAAATAATAATTTTAGATGGCATGGCATGAGTGCAATACATTTATGCTACCATTTTCTCATACGGAATTCCACTTATGATAATCCTTATAGTCTAAGGACATACGTGAATATACTTTTATGAACCTAAATATACATTGTCGGAGCTACACTAGTCTCGTCATTCCTTTCTATAGACTGATCACCCCACCCCTGAAACTTACCATCTTCATCTACTTCCTCAATGATGGCATCCAACTCTTCTTTGGTTGGTGTCTGTCCCAGCATTCTCATGACAGTACCCAACTCCTTGGTGCTGATGTCACCGCCGCCATCAGTGTCAAACATGTCGAAGGCAGCCTTGAACTCTAAAGAGAAAAAAAGAAGCAGACTTTGTTCAACCTGTTTTTGTGTATATCGGTCCTTTGCATATTTATCCATTCCCCAATGCCATTTCGAATGTTTACTCGAACAAGCTTACTTTAAACCTCTTTCTTCTCCCCTTGGCCCGGAAATGTAAATAATATCTTCCAAAATACATTGTTAGCACCTGGATGCAAACCCACTGCTCAACCGCCATTGTTTAGCTTATACAGCTATAACAATAGCGTAAAGGCATACACAGAAAAATGCTAAATAAAAATTACATTTCAACCAATTTGTACCAATCTCTTGTTTCTATTCATGTCACATCTTAGGTTTCTTCTGTCTAACTATTTTGCCTGTCTTGTTTAATTTTCCTTTTCCTTTTGCCCCCAGTTTGGTAGCTGTCATAGAGCAGTGATGGACATTCTTTGCTATGGAGATGCTATGCTAGACATTTCCAATGATGCTTAATCAGCCTTCAGCCTAATTTTACCTGGCGGACCATTATGGGAAATACAGCTCAAAACAATTGTAGTGCCAAATTTTGCCATCACTAGCAGGTCTTGAAAGACTACAGAAACCTGGGTGCTCTGCTTCCTAAAATGGCTCCTGTCTGGGACTTTTCTAGAATTTTATAAACGTACCTCTTCTGGTTGCTAAAAATGTCAGTTTTGCTAGCCTCCTAAATATTGCAGATATCTCTAACTCCCCTTTTTGGTAACATTTTTACTATGTTGCTGTCCATGCTTTTGGTCTCTTTCTCCTATCTCCTCAAAGTTCAACCCCAAAACCCAGGCCTGTGCTTTAAAAAAACTGATTATACATTCCTGACCTGGATAATTTCCTCAGCTCACTGTATTCACATATATACTGTACAACATCAGACCAAATCAATTCCACACACAAATATCTATCCCAAACACACATTTACACACACACACACACACGCACACACACGCACACACACAAAGACACACATATATATATATAAATCAACGGATCATGCAGAAATCTAAAAAAAATCCTCAGATTTATTCATACAAACGACTACAGTCACATTCATAAACACTTCAGAAAAGTAACTAGTTTATGCAAATATGCAAATATAGACAGAAATATTAGGACGGGAAGAAATGGGAACCATGTACAGTACGTAGAATTGGGAAAGGGCCATTAAACATTAACTGCAACAAACTTCAATTTGTACTGATATAAAAATATGGCCAGGGGGCTATTGAGGTGTATGGTCATTGGACAATAGCACTTAACACTTCTCCTAACGCATAAGTTTACAGACATACCAACCACGCATACATATACGATGGCAAATATCTCACTAAACAAGTATATGCATATAGTAATACTAATATATACAAAGCTAATACACCCACAAAGTAATGCTACTTACCGGCAATCATCTCTTCACTGAGGAAGGACCTCGCATCTTGCTGCTGGTCTGTAGGCTGCAAACCAAAATATATGGGTCACTGAATGCTTGGAATTAATAAGTTGCCCTCCAACCCCATGTTTAATCAATAGTAAAATGTGAGAAAAGGATCCCTGTAGCCTAGTGAGGCCAATCTAAATTTATATACTGTGTCAGCTCTTGCAATCATATGAAACAAATGAAGGCCCAGTGTCTTCCTGCATCAACAGATAATGACATATCTCAAAATATCCAGGTAGTTTAGGTATCCACTGGTGTTTCCTCTGAAGTTTCCATTATACAGCTGTCCCAGCAAATCCTCTTAAACTCAACCAACCAGAATATTCAAGGTTTTTTTTTTTAAGGACGAATGTAAAAAAAATAAAATAAAATATATTGGTTGAACTGGAAAAGGGTAAAAATAATTTAAAAAAAAGCTGCTTAGCTAGCTGACAAAGTGAAGATGGAAAATTATTGTAGGTACAGACATCTCCATGGTGTAGACTGACCTGCGACATGGTGGCAAAGGACACAGGGCTTCGTCACAGCACTATGTCCACAGATGACTGAACCCCAAGAGGTTGGTGCAGGTGTCCAGAAGATATGTGCTGGTATAATTAGCAGAGTGTTCGGGGCTCCTTATAGGGAGTGGAGCTCAGAAGGGGATTGTGTTACCGCCTTATACATGAGACCCCCTAAGACTGTCAGAGATAGAAGTGGGCTGAAGCTGCCAACCTGCTAAATATACTCTGTGCAGACAGAGCAACATTCTCGTAAGAACATTCTTAGATTTCACCTCAATGATCTGTCCAAGCCTTGGGCCCAAAATGCTGAACTCAAACTCACACCTATAAACTATAAATGTTATGTTTTGTTTATCGGACGATAACAAGTAAGAAACACGAAGCAATGACTAGCCACATGTTTACCCAAGACATCATATTTACATATGGGTTCACACAAAAGCTCAATATAAATTAAAGAAAAAGAAAAGTATTCATACATTTCCATATACAAAGTTTACAGAGATTAACAAAATATGAACAGGACAAATCTAAAATTGTTCATTCACTCTATAATAATTCCAGACTAGATTTGCAAAATTCATGCCAAAATGGCAACATTGCAAACATTCCCCAACTCGGCCAGTGAATACATACTATAAATGAGTTGCTAATTTCACACAACTCACTGTTTCATGATATTTTTGTGAGTATATTCAAAGAGATAAAAAAAATGCTTTTAAAATATATATTTTTTAGGAAAGCAGGGTTTGACCTTTTTTAACATATCCCAGGATGCATCTTGCTTTTCTATACCGTTTTTGATTGCAAATATGGATTTTATTTTGCGTCTTTATGACTGGAATAGTTAATTCAGAAAGGGAAGGGAGGTAAAATTTATGATGTTTGTGACCTTACATGCAGTTTCTTGGCAGTCAGTCATAAACCTATTATGAAAGGAAAAAGCTAGTTAATTTTTAATGGTCATAAATCACATTTTTATTTTGATTCCCTTACATGACTTCATCGGGTATTAAGAAAAATCTTACACACATAGGGTTTTAATTATGAATAATTGTAATTAGGAAACTGAACTGCAAAATCTAGACAAGAATAGCTGTTTAGGAAACATGGGGCTGTGTTCTTAGTTTGGGCATTTTAGCCTGAATATGACAATTCTATTTTCAGTTATTTACAATTCATGGTTTATTTACTTAATTCTACAGGGTTATTTACCAAATTGATAACTGTTGGGTGTAGGCAAGCAAATTGCACATTCATAGGCCAAAACAGTCACACACAAAAAATACCTTAATTATAGCTATAAAATTGTATCTATAATTTAATTTAACTGGGATCCCTCAAGATGTGAGGTTTTAGCCATTAAACTTTAAGTATCTTACTTAGTATTTGTTCTTTAAATATAGGCCTCAGGTTGTCCTTGTATTTTCTCAGGTACAAATGAAACACCATACAACATTCTAAATGTGCTCACAACCTACTTATGCACATATAGTATAATACTGCAATTATAATGAGATCATATGTCTTATAGCTTTAGCTCAACATATACTAAGCACATACAAAAGGCAATTTGTAGAGCACAATTAACCCAAGGGGTCATTTAAAAGGGAAGCAGCAAGGGGCCCAGATAGGGATAAAAACATTACTGGGAGTTTTTCAATAACTCCACGACATATTTATAGGTACTTAGGTAACCTGATATGTCATTTAGAACATAAAGAATTTTAATTATACAAATGAATTTAGAGACATGCGAACTGTGCTTTAAACAAAGATCAGTGTGTGTTTTATTGCTGTGGGTCTCTGCGGACACAGATGCACACCAAAATCGTGTTGAGCTTGCACGAAATAAGAAGCCAGGATACAAATTGGAATCTAAAAACTGCTTATAATCATGAAATGCTTCTTGGATGATTAAATTACCAGCCTACTTCGCTGTATCGATTTTATTTGTTTTAAGTGCATGCTTAGGAGATACATATCGTGAGTTTCAGGCTAACAATTTCATATATAGTTTCATCAGGGCTCAAAAGTCCTGTTCTACTAGCCAGGTGAAAAAAGTTTCTTGCCACTGCGAACCTCTTCCTATAATGTCAATCCATATTTGTAGATTTTAACGGTTCCACTGACAGGAGCAGACATTGAATTACACAGCAGGTGCTGTCATAGTGACTGTGTCGTAGGTGGGGGGGAGAGGAGGCAGAATGAGAGGGGCTGAAGAGACCTGAACTTCTTAGCTATTTTGAAAGCATGCAGCTGACTGAATCCAGATATACACTCACTAATGGTGGCCACATATATAAGCCATGTGGCCACTGGAAAAGAATAATAGGCAGATGACCAGTTTGGGTCCCTCCTTTCATTCTTCACACAGCAATAGTGAATCATGGTTCTTGGTCTGCTGCCTAAACCCTCAGAGTTAGGCAACCTTCGGCACTCCAGATGTCGTGGACTACATCTTCCATGATGCTTTGCCAGCATGATGGTTGTAAGAGCATTCTGGGGGATGTAGCCCGCAACATCCAGAGTGCCAGCGGTTGCCTAGCCCTGTTAGGTCCTGGGTGGCTGTCCAAGGACCCCTTATGGTTGGTAAATCCTGCTCTGGTGGACACTGTTACAAAAGAATTGCTCGTTTCTACTTAGCAGAGTTGAGATTCCACTCGTCAGTGAAAATGTTTCATAAACGTAACCAATATGACCAAGTAACAGAGACTATCTTGTGTGCACCATAGCTACTACATTAATACAGAGGGCTGTTGATGTAGGATGAAAAAGGGGTAAAATTACCTCACACTTACTGGATCAAAATAAAAAAGATGACAAATGCTGACAAACAGCAATCTGTAAGGTTTTTTAGACAATGTCTTCACTCAGTAATCATCTTATATTGTTGAAGCATATAGATTTGTAGCATAGCTACCAAGAGGCCTTTTATTATTAGGGACAGTCCCTCTATTTTCTCTCTTTCATACCCTGGAGTATGTGACTTATAGAATCTCAAATGGTTCTTCCTATACGATTGTATCACCGTATAAAATTCCACGGTAGTAAAATTCACTATACCACATTCAAACTATACTTTAAGCGACCGTGAATGTGTTTTGAAATTTAATTTGTGTAAACGAAATACTTTGTACCTTTGTTAAATGACTTTGTACGTTATATGAATGGCTAAAACAAGACCATGAAGTCTGTAAAAATACCCAGACTCCAACCCCCTGGCCATACTTCTAGCCACTCCTCCCAACAACAAGTGTCCGTCTTTGGCCATTTGAAATGTAAGGCGTTATTTGAGATGGCTAGTGTTATACAATGCCCTTGAATCAGCAGGAGTACAGTTTATTTTACAGTCAACATCCTATCAAACAATATCATTCAGCCAACCACTATTTCACTCTCAGTTCTTCCTCCATCAGTCCCACATAGTCATGTCCTATTAATCCCAGCCACCCTATTTTATTTTAAATATCCAGTTTATTCCTCCAGTTTCAGGTAGCCTACAGCAGTCCAATCTTGTGCTTCTCAACCTTCCTTTCTTAAAATTTTTCTATGGGCTTTCCTATTAACATCCCCTCTTGTCACTCTCAGCCAGTCGCTTATGCCCCTGATCAATATGAATGACCCTGCCTTTTCTGTCAATCAATTCATCTCCAGATCTTTCATATTTATTTTATCGAGCTCAGCCAGGGTTTGGTTTCTCTGCTCTCATTTTCACAGTCCTTCCGCTCTGCCGCCTTGATTTCAGAACTCTGTCCTTATCAATATCGGCTACTCAATTTTGTCCCTCTCTGGTCCCTCCTATTAATCAAGCTCCTATTACTCTCAACAACCTCCAATCAATCTCAGCCATCCCATTTTTTTTCTGCCAACAGAAAATATGGGGCTGGAGCAAAACATACATATATAATTTCTTGGATCAAATAATCATCTGGCTGCCATAGGCCATAGTACGTTTGGAGGAATAGAAGACTTATCCAATTTTGCCTAGGACATTCTGGGTTTCACAATTCTGTTGTTTTATTATCACAATTTGTAACGTACTCACTTGCCACTTGCCAAATCCACTCACCTACTTTCTGGGGAAAATATCCTTTTTGACTCTAAAACGCCATTCAGATTTCTCCTGGGGTCAACAAGCTGTTACCCCACATATTAACTACAACATGCTTGAATATTTTAGATAAAAGGAGATGCTAAAGGACAGCGTTCGTGATGTACTCAGGCAGTCAAGTAAAACAAAACCTTCAGTCTTCCAAATATGGTAAAAAAAACTATAGAAAAAAAAGTGAATTTCGGGGGAGCACACAGCACACCCCTGGAACATGCATTTCTCAGTAGTGATACTGCCGTAACAATCAAAATATGTACAAAGCACCAATTAAGTAACAGAGCACACAATAAAAAGTTTCAATTTCACAGGGCTACTTAAAATCCCCTATCTCAGCAAACAAACATGGGGATTCAATTACACCATATGGCCATATTGTGCTAAGCCCACCACTACACCACAGTTCTCCAGTATCTGTGGGGTCCTATGCTAATTTTAACATGGGTGATTAATGAGACACTATAAGCATCCAGACCACTTCACCTCATTCAAGTGGTCTGTGTGCACTATCCCTGTCCTCTTTAGTCCTGCAATGTAAAACATTGCTGTGCTAAGACTGCCTCTAGTGGCTGTCTACCAGACAGCCCCTAGAAACGTTTCTTGGATTTTGGAGTTTGACTCCATTAAACAATGCTGGACGTCACAGGAAAGCATTTAGGCAGTGCTTTCCTATGGGGAATGCCTAAGTCGCTTGTAGCACTCGCCACACATGAGCATTAGGTCCCACTATTGGCTGACGTCGGAGGAGGAGGAACACGACGCAGTGCCTGGGACATTGGCGCTGAAATCGGCAAGTTAATAAAGAGCTACTTAACCCTTTACAACTTAAGGAGAATTGGGTGCAGGGGCAGAGGAACACGTTAGTGCAAGGAATACAACTCTGAATTAAGAATACTAAAGTGTTCCTTTAACATTCTAACTGCAATACTTACTGCTTAAACTGCTTCCAGAGACTCTCCTAAAATGTATGCTTTCCTGTGGTCACCTCAAAAGGGGCACCAATAGTGGAGGGGTGGGGTACTCAACCCAGAAGTAATCTGGTCTGGATTCCAAATATACATAGAAAAAAATAGGGTTGGGGACACACAAGGAACATCTCAGTAGTGGTGCTCAAAAACCGCACATACAATTTCAGCTCTCATAAATTAAACTGTCATTTAAAAAACATATTCTCTGGGCATAATACAACTGTAATGCATGTGACCAGGAACGTATTAGCTGCGAGGCAAACAAGGCATTTGCCTTGGGCGGCACTTTCCAGGGGACGGCAAAAAAAAAAACGCCCCCAAATGCCCAGGCAAATGTCTTGTTAGCCTAGCGGTTAACTGACAATCCAGGTGGGTGGGCGGCGCTGGCGAGGGAGCACTGATTATGACGTCATATTCCGGCTCCGGCATCACTCTGCGGCGCGCAAGGGAGCTGAACAGGAGAATCAGTGCTCCCTCGCCGCCTGCAGTCACCGGCCGGCCACCCAGCAGCCCCACTGGACCCCAGGGTAGCGACCGATTGGTTCCTTTCTGGACGGTAGGAGGAGTTATTGGGTTACAAAAAGGGGTGATTTCGAGCGGGGGAATGCTATTGTACGCCCTTGACAAAGGCGGTTTATCCGCCGAAACGCGCGTTGGGCAGTTTTGTTTGCAGCCTGTGCCTAGCCCCTTAGTTGATTCTATTTCATTCATATCTATTGCACTAAGTAACTTATATGACCGGCCGGCCATCAGTTTAATTGAGGTTGTTTTCAATCACCCTGTGACTATGTAATGGAAGGTCTTTCCTTCTTTTCAAATATACACTGTTTATATCAATCTCTTTTACCTCTCGTCTCACTATCCTTTCGATTTCCTCTGCATTTCAATGAATTTATTGCTTATTAAGGAGTATGAAGGAGGTAGTGAGGGTTTGTTCTCTGTTTTGTATCTCATTGAGAGGGTTCAATTTATCCATTTAACTTTTACTCTTAGTGCATTTGATAAATAGGGTTAGAGCATAGAAGCACTTCGGCTTGGTTGCTGTAGTCTGATCCTGATACATTATATTGTTACATTGTTTCTATTTATACTTTGTAACAATTTATAGATTGGAACTTGTTACAGATTTATTCAGCACTGTTTTTTCAACCGTATTCAGCCTGCATTCTTTTTCTTTTTCTTGGGTTAGGGTATTTAGAATTTATTGGTGTTCAATAAAGATACTTTTAATTAGGTATTTAATCTGTTTATGTGTGATATAATTAGCTTACACATATTTGTGTGGGGGTAGCTGTAGTAGAGGAATTCTCCCTCTTAGTAGGGATTATTTCCTCTTACTACCTCTTTATATTTTCTTGGTCATATTTTGTAGGGTTAAGCCCGTTTAGCTACCCTTTTAGCCCTTTTCTCTGTGCCCTGGGTTAGTGTTCATTTTGGTGGACTCTGCTCAGTGGTACTTTATTTCTATAGTCTATAACTCTGCTAGTTTTGTTTCCCCTTAAAGCCAAAGTTCTACTATGAAATGGGAGCATGTTTAATCCCTTAAGGACTGAGCCAAATGTACACGTTTTGATCAAAATAAAACGTAAACAAAACTTGGAATTTGCGCTATATGTCTGTTCAAACGTAATTCACCTCTTTCATATTAAGTGCACCCACACTTATTATATATCAAACCTGTACATGAGGGGTACTGTTCTACTCAGGAGACTTCGCTGAACACAAATATTAGTGTTTCAAAACCATAAAACGTATCACAACAATTATATCGTCAGTGTAAGTGCCGTTAGTGTGTGGAAAATGTAAAAAAAATCACTTTCACTGATGATATCATCGTTGTAATACATTTTACTGTTTTCAAACACTAATATTTGTATTCACCAAACCTGGGTTATCAGGCAGGTCCTGCAAATTGTAATTAATAAAATGACTTAATTTTGTAAAAATATTACATAAACATATATGTAGAATTAATATATATATATATATATATATAGTTTTTTAAAATTATTGTTATTTATATATACGTATATATATAGTGATATATACATATATATTTATTTATGTATACATATATTATTTCGTTATAAGTGTATTTTGATATCAATATATATATTAATATCAAAATACAGTTAGAACGAAATTACACACATATATATATATATTTTTTTATTATTATTATTTATTAAATTTTTTACGTATTTATATATTTATTTTTTTAGCCCAGCCATACACGAGACACGTGAGAGCAGACCGGATTGGATGAGGATCATTCCCCATTACTACTTCTCCTGATTAAGAGATATTCTTTTGAACACCTCTCTTTTGGTCCACATTTACAGCATATACAATATGTGGTGAGATCCAACCATTTTTCATCATTTAAATAGTGCATTTTTTTCAGTCTGGTGAACTCTTTAGTGTTTTCATCTTTCTCATTTTTTGGTCAGTTTTTTCTTATTTTTTGTCTTTTTTCCGTTTGTAAATTTTTTTGTCTTTTTCTTATTTTTTTGTCTTTTTTTTTCATTATTCAATTTTTGCCTATTTACCTCAGGATAATAATCAAGTGGTGGATCCACCTGAATATTTATGAACTTTCAACCTCATGCATATGGTGTTTATGGACTGTATATAGCTGTAAATAGTCTGGGATTTATATATTATGAAATTTTGTCACATGTATTATAGATTAATTCATAGAGAGATAGAAACATAGAAACATAGAATGTGACGGCAGATAAGAACCATTCGGCCCATCTAGTCTGCCCAATTTTATAAATACTTTCATTAGTCCCTGGCCTTATCTTATAGTTAGGATAGCCTTATGCCTATCCCACGCATGCTTAAACTCCTTTACTGTGTAAACCTATACCACTTCAGCTGGAAGGCTATTCCATGAATCCACTACCCTCTCAGTAAAGTAATATTTCCAGATATTATTTTTAAACCTTTGCCCCTCTAATTTAAGACTATGTATTCTTGTTGTGGTAGTTTTTCTTCTTTTAAATAGTCTCCTCCTTTACTGTGTTGATTCCCTTTATGTATTTAAATGTTTCTATCATACTCCCCCTGTCTCGTCTTTCCTACAAGCTATACATGTTAAGATCCTTTAAACTTTCCTGGTAAGTTTTATCCCGTAATCCATGAACCAGTTTAGTAGCCCTTCTCTGAACTCTCTCTAAGGTATCAATATCCTTCTGAAGATACGGTCTCCAGTACTGTGTACAATACTCCTACATTTAAGTCATCAGAAATAATTACCCCCAAATCCCTTTCCTCAAATGTTGAGGTTAGAACTCTATCAAATATTCTGTACTCTGCCCTTGGGTTTTTACGTCCTAGATGCATTATCTTGCACTTATCCACATTAAATGTCAGTTGCCACAGCTCTGACCATTTTTCTAGTTTACCTAAATCATTTGCTATTTGGCTTATCCCTCCTGGAACATCAACCCTGTTACATATCTTAGTATCATCAGCAAAAAGACATCCCTTACCATCAAGTCCTTTTGCAATATCACTAATAAAAATATTAAAGAGGATGGGTCCAAGTACAGATCCCTGAGGTACCCCACTGGTGACAAGTCCAAGCTTCGAATATACTCCATTGACTACAACCCTCTGTTGCCTGTCACTCAGCCACTGCCACTGCCCATTCAACAATATTGGAATCCAAACTTAAAGATTGCAATTTATTGATAAGCCTTCTATGTGCAACAGTGTCAAAAGCCTTACTGAAATCTAGGTAAGCAATATCTACTGCACCACCCTGATTACCCAATCAAAAAAATCAATAAGATTAGTTTGACATGATCTCCCTGAAGTAAACCCATGTTGTCTCTGATCTTGAAATCCATGTGTTTTTAGATGTTCAACAATCCGATCCTTTAACATGGTTTCCATCACTTTCCCCACTACTGAAGTAAGGCTTACTGGCCTATAGTTGCCTAACTCCTCCCTATTACCTTTCTTGTGAATGGGCACAACATTTGCTAACTTCCAATCTTCTGGGACTACTCCTGTTAACAATGATTGGTTAAATAAATCTGTTAATGGTCAGATCATCAATTTATATATTTAGTAATAGTGGTCTCCTTTTTTTTTTTTTACTTTCATGAATTTTTGGGATTTAGTGTACAATAAATAATTTTTTTGCTTATTTACACAGTGATTTTCTTTTTTCATGCATTTTTATGCATGTGAGTGCGGTATAAATTGATACATTTTATTTTTTTTATTTTTTTTATTTTATATTATATATATATATATAATTATATATATTTAATTAATATCATTCTACGTGTATTTTGATATTAACCCCTTCAGACCGGAGGACGTACAATTACGCCCTATTTTAGGCGGCTCTAAACGCCGCCGGGTGTAATTGTACGCCCTCCGGTTTTTGTTCACTTACCCGGTCGCCGGCGGTCCCACGCCGGCGATCGCGGTGGGGGGGACTCCCAGGGAGCACCCCCACGGTAGATCCTCCTCCTCCGGTGCCCCCCGGCCATGTGAGAGTGGGGTCCTTGCGAGGACCCCACAATCACATGGCCGGGTAGGCTGCCTCCTGCATTGCCAGCAGGGGGCTGCCTGTAATGACAGGTGGTCCCCCTGCTGGCTGAAAATAAAATTAAAATAAAATGTATTAGTTTAAAAAAAATATATATATATATACTTAGATCATACACATATACATACACACACATACACTGTCTAGGTGTATTTTACTATTAATATATATATATAATTATATATATATATATATATATATATATATATATATATATATATTAATATCAAATTACCCGTAGACTGATATTGATTAAATATATATATATATATAATTATTGTTATATATATATTTATATATAATATATAAAAAATATGTAAATACGTCCTTAAGGACAGAGACAATTGTCCATGTTCTGAACTAAAACAAAGCCTAGCTTTGAAGCTACATGTCTGTTCAACCATAAGTTTAATATTACATCCACCCACACTTATTATATATAATTTTGTTCAGGAGAAGGGCTTTCATTTCACATCAAATATTTATATTTGAAACTAAATTTTATATGAATAAAATCTAAAAAAGTGTGAGAAATTAAGAAATGTTATTTTCCAAGTTCTGCGTGGCATTTGATCTGTGAATGCCATAATACTGTTAGCTTTCATTGCAATAAAATACACATATTTGTATGCTCTGATGTCCCACGAGTACAATGATGCCCCCCATGGTGTTCTGAAAAGTTACACGATCAAATATAGGGCTTTCCCCTTTTCAGTTTTTATACATTGAAATTTGTCAGATTGGTTATGTTGCCTTTAAGACCATATGGCAACCCAGGAATGAGAATTACCGCCATTGCATACCATTTGCAAAAGTAGACAACCCAGGGTATTCAAAATGTGGTGTCCAGTCTTTTTAGTAGTCACTTAGTAACAAATTCAGGCCAAAATTAGTGTTCATATTTATTTTTTGCATTTTTCACAAAAACTTTATTTTCACTGATGATATCATCGTCATTATACATTTTACTGCTCTAAAACACACATATTTAAGTTTAGCATTGTCTCACGAGTACAGCTTTACTCCCTATATACAGGTTCTATGGGGAATTGAATAATGACAGTGTCAAATATAGGGCTTGTAAGTTAAATTCTCTAATATTTCTGCCACAATATATTATTAATAAAATAATTTAAAGATGCATAAATAATATATGAGACATTTAGAATCAAATATATATATATAAGCAAGTAAGAGAGCACTTGGGAGACTTGGTATTGATCAAAAGTGCTGAGTTATAACTTTTCGGTTGGAGAATTTACACCAGGAGAAAGTAAGTTGAGAAACATTAAGTGCGGAACCCCAGGTTTTGTACACATGTACATATACATTATTTCATTATAAGTTTATTTTGATATTTAGAAAAAATACAAAATTATATAAATATATATATATACACTAGATACAATACACTCAGAATTAAATTAAATATATATATATAATAAAAAAAGTATCTTGATATTAATATATAATTATATATATATCGATATCAAAATACACTTAGAATGAAATTATATATAATTTATTTATTGTGTATATAAAATGAGCTTATTTTATTAATTATACTTTGGGGGATCTGCCTGGCAAACCAGTCAGGCAATCTGTCAATCACGCCGATCCGAGTCATGTGGTCATGGGATCAGTTGTCAGCCGAACCCCCCCCCCCCATGCTGATCCAGCTGCCAGGAGGGCCCGGTCGTTAGTGTGCTGTCCTAACAATCAGGAATGGGTTAAAGTGGAAATCTGAGAATCATGATAGATTCAGTTTTTTAACAATTTATTTTAGTTTTTTAACTTTTTTTGGATATTCCTTTTTTTTTTATTATAACATATGTAACTAAATTAAGACATAGCTGGGGTGCTAACGTGTCCCGGATTTTGTGGGTCTGTCCCGCGTCCTGGGCACCTTCATTCCGGGACTATGTAATGTCCTGGAATGAGCTGGGCCCCATATTAGTGAAGAGGTGCCCCATTTGCGATGTGCGTGCAGCAACCCTCCCTCACTCTCTTCCCTCCCTCTGAAGTCCCAGTGCTGCTAGGAAGTAAGGTCACACGCGATGACGTAGCTTCTTCCCAGCGCTCTTTGCAGATAACCACGCGGGAGGAAAGACAGAGGAGCTCCCCTCCCAGGACCAGGTAAGTGAGGAATACATAAACACTGCTTTGGAAGCAAGGTCTGATCCCGCACTCCTAAGGTTAGAAACTATACGCAAACTGGTTTTCATTTCCAGTTACGCAAATAAATGTATGACTCAGTCTAATGTAGAACTAACGTGTCTTACTCAGTGGATAAATGGGCAGCTATTAGGATTGGCCAATCTAATATGGCTCTTTCCAAATATTCGCAATAGCAGGCATTTGTAAAACTATTCCCGGGCATTTAGCTGAATACCAGCTGAGGGTTTGGTAGTGGGAAGAATTTTATCACACGGGATGGGTGGCTTAATGCTGCTTTCTTTTCACAATGCATTCTGCCCATGATGTTTAAGTCCATTAAAATGCATTGAAGTGAAGCCAAAAGAAAGCTGAGGGTTCTAAGTTTACATTTGCTCCCATGGCAGTACAGAAATGATTTCTCCAAATAAAGTATCCAGGTTAATGAATAATTGAAAATTAGTAAAAGCTACCGTGTTTCCCCGAAAATAAACCCTACCCCGAAAATAAGCCCTAGTCGGATTTTCGGGGTGGGCTGCAATATAAGCCCTACCCCCCTAATTGCTTCCTCCCAGGAAGCAGGTAGGAGAGAGGCTGTTCTCTCCAGATAGAGAGTCAATGAGACTAGGCACTGGGAGTGCAGAAAGGAAGCAGTCAAGGCTGGCTTGGAGCACTGGGAGTGCAGGAGGAAGCAGTCAAGGCTGGCTTGGAGCACTGGGAGTGCAGAAAGGAAAGCAGTCAGGGCAAGGCTGGCTTGGAGCACTGGGAGTGCAGAAAGGAAAGCAGTCAGGGCAAGGCTGGCTTGGAGCACTGGGAGTGCAGAAAGGAAAACAGTCAGGGCAAGGCTGGCTTGGAGCACTGGGAGTGGAGAAAGAAAAGCAACAGGCTAGCTAGCAGAGTGTTGCTATCTAATAAGGTTGGTGCAATATGTTTTTGTTAGTTTAACCCTGATAGAGAGGGATATTCAAAGTGAGTCAGTGCTCAGACAAGCTAGGGTTTTGTTTAAAGGGAAACCTGTTATATTTATGTTTTCATTTGCTGCTGCCTCATATGTAAACTTACAAATAAAGTGCCTGGAATGAAGTTGCATTAAAAGACTGCATGTTTTTGCCCTAGAGGTACTACCGTGCTACCTGCTGACAAGGATCACACTTGAATACAAAATCTATTTTACTCCAGTGTAGCGTAGTCACAAGTGACTTGTGTCCTAGACAATTACACATCCTTCCTGTAATTTCTATCATATGCTCTCCCACCACCTCCACCTCAGAGAGTTTTAAAATGATATGGCCTGCTAAACACCTTGTTAATATCCTCCTGATTGTGTGTGTTTTTGGCTTTGCATTGTACAATCAGTCCTGGACTCATTCCAATGTGTGTGTCTCTCTTGCGTGCCAAGTTCAAATCTTTGAACTTTTAATTCATCAGTTTCTGATCCCTCAACATGAACCCTACATACCATATGGGGGAATAGACATGAAATGGGGGAAGTCGGGGGGCGATGGACATGAAATATGGGGGGATATGAAATATAGGGGGAATGGACATGAAATATGAGAAGGATATTGTGACGAGAGCAATCTCGCCACATTGCATTGGAGAATCCTGGTTGCTCGCCTGTTGCCTTTGGATTATGGCCCCATGTTAAAGGACCTCTTTTCTCCTGCAGAAAAGACTTATTCGTGCTTTTCTGCCCGGTGTCCGGTAGATTCAATCTACCGAACAACCGCACGAATGACTGGACCGCCTGGGAGCTGGAGTGTGTTGGCGATTTACCTCCCAGAAGCTGCGGTTAACCGCAGCTTGATTGACAATTACTGGGTGGTCGCGGTTACACCTAGCCACCACACGATGGCGGTGTTATGGAAGCTCCCCGGGTAGCCAGCGCTTGTTCTACCCAGCGGCAGGACACCAAAAGCGGACACTTTTGTCTTCCAAGCCCCGCTGAGGCTGGAAGTCTGCAAACCCGTTCGTGAACCGAACGGAGCATTCGGGACTTTTTAGTGTTATAATGTATTCGGTGTGGAAGTACCCAGATAGCCTGCCATGGAGCCTGTTCGTGGAATTAAAGACTTTGGCTCCATGGCGATTAAACTGTATTCGTGTGGTCTGAGCGCCATTCGCTTAATAATGTGCGCTCAGACCTGAGCTATCTGGGGATATGTTAAATGTATATTTTTATTGTAACTTTTGTCACATAGCGTATTTTAATAGTAATTCCTGTATTGGTATCCCCACGTGCATAATGGCGATTTGCCTTTGTCCTGGGAGATAATTGAATTACTTCTCAATTATCTCCAGGGCAGAGGGGAGGAAGCCAGGATGCATTGTGGGAATATAATGTGACTGTGTGTCCTGGATTGCTGCTTGTCTGTCCTGTGTTGCAGTCTCCCATTTGGTCCCCTAGGGGGAGTGTCCACCAGGTGGGAGACCTGCATAAATACTGGGCAGGTAGCCCTCATTAAACAGACCACTGCTTGACCCTCAACACGGAGCCTTGTCTCGTCTTTGGGGGGATTTACTGAATGCTGATAGAGACTGATTGCTAGGAGTGTAAGCCGCTTGGGTGCTTTTCCTATTCGTCTGCTAGCAGCGATTCGTATGGTTCAAGTTTGTGAGTTTGGAGTGCTATATTGTATGCCGTTCGGGAGTTTGGACCATTCCCTTACATGCGGTTCGGGAGTTTGGTGTTCTACAGTAACTGTGCCTGCATCTCTGGAAGGGGACGATCGCCTAAACGGTTTTAACCCCTTGTGTGCTGAAACGGTCCGTTACAGATATGGAATATGGGGGGAATGGAAGCTGAAACCCACTTTGTCCGGTGTGAAGAGGGATTCCAGGAGGGGCAAGGAAGTGTCCCTGAATTACATTTTTGAAATGTGGTCACCCTAGACACAGCATCAACGAAAATTTAAAAATACAACTATAATACAACTTTGAAGAAAAAAAAAAAGAAAAAAGGTGTTTTATTAGTTATGAAGTGAGAGGTTGAATTTTAAAATAACATACCTCACAGCCCAGGTGTGCCTATTTTAAAAAAGGACAGTCCCTATTTTGAACACAAATCCTTCTGCCCATATTTTCTATCATAATGTCCCTTTTTTTTTTTTTTTTTTTAAAACTGTTATTGTTGTGTCTGACTGTATAACAGAACTCCACAGAAATAATACTCCCAGTAATGTGTCTTTAAACTACAATGTATTTAGAAAGCGTTCTGTGTAAATAAGATACATTGTTCTTGTTCTAAATGACATTTTAGTATTTCTTGTAGTCAGTAAGTTACCTTAAATTTCTTAGTCCCTCTTTGTCCATTTTAAATGTAGGGAGGTATGCAATAAAATAAATTAAGGCTAGCAATTTACGACGACAAACTGCAGCTAAGAATATATCTGAGAACATAACATAAGACAAATATAACATGTATAGCTTGGAGGAAAGACGAGACAGGGGGGATATGAGAGAAACATTTAAATACATAAAGGGAATCAACACAATAAAGGAGGAGACTATACTTAAAAGAAGAAAAACTACCACAACAAGAGGACATAGTCTTAAATTAGAGGGACAAAGGTTTAAAAATAATATCAGGAAGTATTACTTTACTGAGAGGGTAGTGGATGCATGGAATAGCCTTCCAGCTGAAGTGGTAGAGGGTAACACAGTGAAGGAGTTTACGCATGCGTGGGCTAGGCATAAGGCTATCCTAACTATAGGAAAGGCCAGGGACTAATGAAAGTATTTAGAAAATTGGGCAGACTAGATGGGCCGAATGGTTCTTATCTGCCGTCACATTCTATGTTTCTAATTTAGCTAATGGCAGTACAATACTTTTTGTAACTGGGCTTTCCTCTCTCTATTAAACGTCTTCAGGGGTATTTACAAAAGGGAAAAGTATCAAGAATTCAAAGTTAATTTCAAAGAACAAAACAGAGAAGTTAGAAACATTCAAAAAAGGTCAATTATGGCAAATTGAGAATTAAATTAAAATTCTCAGTTTAATGAATAACCCGGGAAATGTGATGTTACATATGATTAAAGCAACTACTCACAGGTTTTAACAGCTTTTCATGGTGTATGTGTGACCCTTCAAAACCAGTTTAATTTGAGATATTACTGTCATTTGATATAATGTCTCAAGTATCTGGGATACTTATTGAAAACGGAATAACAAACTACTGTAGTATTAGACACTACAAATCCTATAAACCGCTGCATTAAAAAGTAGAATAGTTCCGGTCTTTTATTTATTCATATATTTATTAACAAGTGAATGTGCATATAATATAATGAGGATTATTCAATAAAATGTTGTTCACCAAGAATGTGCAAATTTCGTCCAAATAGCTGGCTGGAAGTGTTTTTCAAAGTCCTCTATCGTGGACTCAAATGTGCAATTTCCTCGGGGATTCCTGACAATCCATAAATCAGTGTATAACACCTACGTGTTTCTTTACCAAAGTGAATTCCAAGTGAATTTCAAATTTAAGGCCGAAATGGCCAAAATGAAAGCATAGCTGACAGAAAATTTGTCAAGTTTTGACCTTAAATTAAAATTTCACTTTGATATATAACTTTTCTTTTAGTATGGTAAGTGGAGTTTGAATGATGTATAAAATGAACTCAAACAGGGCTATTCCCCAAACTGCGACTTATCAGGGACTGACATTGGATTTTTAAATGTTAGGCCCAAATAGCTGAGTTAGAAACATAGAAGAACTGGAGAAATGTTCAAATATGTCTATTTTGGCCTAAAATATATATGGCAAGAATCCCCGGTTTCATGACTAACCCTGGCTGAGTTTTATTCAAGAAACCAGGATTATTTGAACACTGTGAAGGAAATTGCCACACCCAATTTATCTTTTAAAAAATAAATATCTGAATATTATTTGTCAGATCTCCGTAATTCTTACTTTTCATGAATAAATCCCAAGGAATTAGGGTCGACCACAACACGAGGTTAGAACTCCATAAATCATGAAAACAGATGTTACAACAAAAAAAATATATATCATTTATTACATATATACAAAGGATTTTTTATCTTTCCAAAAGCACATACATGGAAACTACATATCTAAAATAATGAAATGCATACATGAATGTAATTTATATGAGGTAAGTGTAGACGGGTGTCGGGGGTATTACCTTGATTAGCCTTGGGTATTTTCAACCATCATCCATAATGCCCCTTGTATTGCAGTCTCTCCTGCCCGCTACTGTTAGCAGTCACTTAGACTCTAAACTGAGACCTTGCACAGCAGAACTATTTCTGTGTGTGGATATAATCTGGCTGTCAGAAATAAATAAATAAATATGTCCAAATATGACAAACTCTTAATGTCACCAGAGATTTGCATGGCTCCAGAATCAGATACAGTAATACACTAGATGTTTCTTTATTATATATTTTTTTGTTTTGCTTTTGTGGTTAAATTGCTTATTGGTTAACTGTATTTAGATTTGTGGGAAATATTAGAAGCTTCGGAATAGTATATGGACTGATGTGATTAGGGACTCGGGTGATTTTACCCTTGCAATCCTGTAGAGGGCATTGTCGTGCCAGTGACTGCAGCAAGGACATTTGAAGCCTGTGTGATTTGATATGTCAAAAATACATTATTGAAGCAACACACACACACAAACATGCACAAACAAACACACATGTATGTTTATATATCACACAGTTTTAGGTCAAAATAAACCGCTAATCAAACTCAAGTTTCCTTACATTTTATGAAAGCTATACTGCTGTAAACATACAAACTGCACCAATTTCTACATTACTACGAGATTTGATGAGTCAAAAAGGCCCCCACTACTTTTGATTCTTATGTAGACTTAACAGATGCTATATAATGGTGAATGTTAAAGGACCACTATAGGCACCCAGACCACTTCAGTTAAATAAAGTGGTCTGGGTGCCAGGTCCCTCTAGTTTTAACCCTGTAGCTGAAAACATAGTTTCTGAGAAACTGCTATGTTTCACTGAGGGTTAATCCTGCCTCTAGCGGCTGTCTCACTGACAGCCTCTAGAGGCGCTTCCGCGATTCTCACTGTAAAAATCACAGTGAGAAGACGCTGGATGTCCATAGGAAAGAACTGAGTAATGCTGCTATGGGCGGTTTGTATGCCGTGCATGCGCATTCGGATCTGATGTCGGCAGGGGGAGGAGAGGTCACCAGGGAGCCCGGCGCTGGAGAAAGGTACATGGCTGAAGGGGTTTTAACCCCTTCAGACCAGCGGGAGGAGGGCCCTGAGGTTGGGGGGGGGGACCTAATGACCCTATAGTGCCAGGAAAACGAGTTTGTCTTCCTGGCACTATAGTGGTCTTTTAAGCAAATTTATTTTCATTTCATTCACCCATCAAACGGACTCAGCCATCTACAAAATATGTCGACGACAATGTGCTTTTTAGGTAGGTATGCAAATTAAATTTAAACATTGTGTTTTCAGAATTGTAAGCAAATATATCAATTAAGCAATATTTAATTGAATATTGCATGTACTTCATTCAAAATGGCAGCTGCCATGTGTGCACATAATGTATGGGCATTGACCCTTTACAGCCATATTACTGATTCTAAAATACAAAATTAAACCCCGCGCTCAAACTCTTTAGAGTTTTTACCTTTTAGCTGAGGGCAGCAAGGTAAATTGTTACTGTAGGACACATCTAGGAGGTTTGCCTTGACATGGCAGGTGAGCTTACACTCAAGTGGCTACTGGAGTGATACTAAAAAGCTCCAGTTATTTATGCGTGCATAGGGATTTGGGATAGTGCGCAAGTAACTTATATTAGTGATTCGACTGATATCAGCTTCTCAGTAAAGTAAATAAATCTGTATATGACAGTTAAAAATTTCCACTTGATCACTACCCATTTGAAAGTGAAAATTCAGCCTTGAATGGTAGAAATTAACCATATTTAGGCATGCCAGGGACCCTCCACGTTTGCAGCTGTGAGTTACTTTTAGAACTGTTTAGTAGCGTAGGACTTGGAATTTCGAGCCATGTTTGTTTAATTTAAAATCAATCTATATCTACACATTGAAATTGTATGTTCTTAAATAACACTATATCTAAACAATTGTTAGCCATTTGGCTAGCATAAAAAATAGATAAAATAAAACAGAGTGGTTATATTACTAGTCACCCTATCCACTGGAATTAGAGTCACATCCAATAAATATTACAGTAATGCAATGAGCTACAAGGAATTATAAGGAATTATAGAATTATAAGGAATTCTCGAACATCATTCAGTATTACAGTAAAAAATTCATGAAGCAATAATAGAAATTACAGGGAAGGTTTATATTGAGTAATCACAAACAATAAAAGTACAGGTAATAGTGGGCGGAATTAGAATGGGTTTAAGTACCAACGGGAGGAGTTACAGTCCGGAGTTTCATGGTAATCTAGATTGGAAAATAGACTCAAGCACCAGGTTCTGCCATTCACGCATCTTTTTCTATTGTTAAACCAAAAAGGAGGCGAAAAACACAATTTGAAGCGATTCCCAATTGTATCACACAAAGGTAAACAAAGCCTTCTTGGCATTTCTTCTAAATGGAAATTAGAGTTTGGAGCCACAAGTTAATCAAATATTAAATACTAAATGTTAAACAAATACAGGGGGGGGAAAGTTTAAATATAGGGTAAGAAGAGTTATTCGTGTACCAAGATGGTATGGTAAAAATTAGCAAAAATGTGTCTAGAGGTATATGTTATATGGAGTGTGTGTGTGTATATATATATATATAGCAACATCAATGGAAATTAATTGCACAGATATTAGAAAGGGTGATTTGAATTATGTGTAAATTGACAGAGAGAGACAGACAGGGATGGATGAATGGACGGATAGACAGACAAATGGATAAACAGACAGATGGATAGATAGACAGACAGACAGACAGATGGATAGACAGACAGACAGATGAATAGATAAAAAGATATATAGATAGATGAATAGATAGATAGATATATAGATAGATGAATAGATAGATAGATAGATGAATAGAGAGATATATAGATAGATGAATAGAGAGATATATAGATAGATAGATGAATAGAGAGATGAATAGATAGATAGATAGATGAATAGATAGATACATAGATAGATACATAGATTAATAGATAGATTAATAGATGAATAGAGAGATAGATACATAGATAGATTAATAGATGAATAGAGAGATAGACAGACAGACAGACAGACAGCAAGATATATATATATATATATATATATAGACAGTAAGATAGATAGAACAGGAGGAAATATAGAAAGCTTTAGACAAAATTTACACTAAAAGGAAATAAATTTAGAATGAAACTGACTCAGGAGAGTTTTTATAAGAGGAGCTACATACAGTAATCATAGTGGTTGTGGTAGGAATGATATTGTGCAACAGATGTAGTTTTGGTGAAATGTTATTGATAGCTACAGAGTAAATTACGGGGAATTAAAGTTTGCGGTCACTAGTCATTCTATAGATGGCCATAATTACAACCTCTTGGTGTCTTCGGAGGGCGCTTTGATTCTTGCTATTTTCATAGAGATCGCCTGTGTTTTGTAGAAACTCCCTTTTTATAATGAATGCTACAGATCCTTGATGGACATGCCAAGCTAAAAACTATATTAGTCAGAAGGAAAACTCCTCAAATAGTAAGAGTCATCTTCTACGTCCAAGCCTGGGGCTCTCTACAATCTCTAGGGGATATCAAGAGCGACTAGAAGAGGGTGTTACAGAGCTCCCCGTTTTGTAATAAATAATTAAAGTGTGCTGTAGGCTGCGGAATCATTGCATAGGTTTATAGCGTGAGTATCATATAGTCTCCCCCTATAAATAGGCGTTACGAGCAAAGTGCTAACACCTGTCCCAATCTGCAGCTGTTATGCACTAGGAATAGAACTGGCCGATATAGGAACAACTTCTTCCCCGCTCTTTCCATCATGCACAAACATGTTTAGATCAAAGCAAAACACAGGTATCTATGTTTTTCATGGCGTATCAGATTGCTTTTTAATTGCACACAGTCTTATACAGAGACAGAAGTCATTGGAGAGAAAGAACCGATAATGGCCTCGATTTAATATTGTTGGGCAAGCTTTCAAATTATTTCATATTTTTGGCTAAACGTTTAAAATCATTTAATGTTATTTTAATACCTTGATATTTTTCTTTGTATATATTGATACATTGTATTTATATCTGGTATATTTGATAAGTATATAAAAAATATTAAATAAAGGCCAATCTTGGGCTTATTCGATAAACCACAGATAATTGACAAAAGAATTGCACATTTTTCTTCAACATAGTAAAATCGAAAAAATCAGCAACACAGCTATTTTTCCCTAAAACCTGATTCCTTTGTTCGTTCTCCATACTTCGCTATTTAGTGTATAAAGCCAACTGTTTAACAGCATTCTGCTTGCTGTATGTTAGCACTATGATTTATCATTTTATCGCTTAAAATTGAAATGTTTTGGATTCCACTATATACTGTATTGACCGTCATAGGAACACGGTCCAACGTGACATTATCTCATTCTAATGATCAGATCTCAAGGGTTCTTTGGAGAAAGTCCTTTAGAAAGTCACTTGAATCGTATAGTTTGCCAGATAAGTCCAGAATTTTCTGGACTCTACAAGCTGATGGGTAGTGCATGAAAAGTGCTTCCCTGCAGGATCTGACATGCAGAAGGAAACATAGGTGTGCGCAGCCTAATGCATTAGGGTGTGCACCCTAAAGCACAAACACACGCCGCGTGTATATGTAAGTGTGTATATATATATATACATATACACACACATACATAAACTGCTGTATGTGTGTGTGCTGCGTGAGGGTGGTTTGAGGGTGTTGTGTGTGTAAGGGTGCTGTGTGTGAGGGTGCTGTTTGTGTGCTGTGTGTGTGTGAGGGTGTTGTGTGTGTGTGTTTGTGAGGGTGCTGTTTCTGTGCTGTGTGTGAGAGGGTGCTGTGTGTTTGAGGGTGCTGTATGTGTGTGAGTGCTGTGTGGGTGCTG